CCCCCCCCCCCTGTAATAGCCACTGCCTAAAATTGTTCATCCTCTTCAAACCCCCCTCAACTCCCGTCATCCGGTTTCTGTAAAATGGACAATTTTTTTACGCCATGTTTCAGATTATTCCACCCCCTCTCTGCTGAGAATTCATTCCGCAAAGTTTTCCCCGCATTTCAGCATTTTTTTTCACTCCCGAGGCCTATTAGTTGAAAATAAATATTCTCATGAAAGATATTCAATGTTTAGATTTAATTCCATAAAATTTTTGTTGCAGGCACATGAATAGACGTTACATAACCATGCATTTATTCACAATAACAACATTAACAATCGCCAGTATTCTTCGTGACGTCCCCAAAGGAGAACTTTATTACAAAGCCTGGATACCCTTCAACTACACATCCCCACCGCGTTTCTGGTCCGCCTACATTCATCAAGTAATAGCGCATTATTTCGATCTCTGCATGCACGCTGGGTACGACACCCTAGCGCCGGGCATGATGATCCACGCTTGCGCTCAATTCGCAATCCTCGGACATCGTTTCCGCCTCCTCCCCGAGCGCATAAAAGAGAGATTGAAGGAGTCGGACGATATCAACGAGAGCCAGGAGCTCAAGGCGTTGGAAACAAAAAAATTGACCGAATGTGTCAGACATCATCTCCAAATATTCGAGTTGTGTAAATTGCGCTTTACGTAAACCGTCATTTATCTGTTATTATTGGGTCAATGATACTAATTGCGGATTATGATAGGTTCGCTAAGACGAATAATAACATATTTAGCGGCATGATATTCATGCAGTACACGGTGAGCTCGCTGGTGCTCTGCATGAGCACTTTACGACTGTCGCAGATACACGCATTCAGCCCGACATTACTCTCCATCTTCTTGTATTTCTTGAGCATGATTGTGCAGATTTTTATGCCATGCTTCTCGGGAAATCAAATCACGATTGCTGTGAGTAGCTTTTTTTTTTTGAAAATCTATGCTGTTGCACATTTTCAACCGGAATTTATGGATAAAATTCATTGAACATTTGAAAAAAACCCGCAGATGAGCTGCGAAATAGAAAGTTTCTAGGGTTTTTCTATGAAATTTGTTTCTAACAAATAAAAATAAATAAATTCAACTCTGAGGATCTCCCACTGCACTGTAGAATCGTCAAACAGAAATGGCAAAAATGTCGTTTACGTAATGTAATGCCGAGCCATGTATTTTCAGAGTGAAAAACTTTGCGACGACATCTACAGCATGGACTGGACAATCCTCAGTACCTCAACCAAACGGAGTTTAACGATGATAATAACCAGGGCTCAGAAACCATTGAGGTTCACCAGTGGCTACGTCCTGACTCTGTCGATCGAATCATTTAACAGTGTAAGCATCAAAATGCGCAGATAAGCTGCGGATTTTTTTAACAGAAATCGAAGAAAGACTAATAGAAAGTTCAACAGGAGTCCAATAGAATTTTCTAGCTATTTCTATGAAATTCTTTCATTCGTGTTTTCTCCCCCAAGCTCTTACTTTCCCTCATCAAAAATTCTGTTTCAGGTCGTGAAAACATCGTATTCAGCATTCAATGTTCTCCACGGTTCCTCCGATTTCTGAATTAAATAGATCCCACGGCTAAGACAATAGTGATTTCCAGTGTGAAAGCCAAAAGAGAAAATATAGTTACCCAGAAGGAATAGTATATTCATAAATTTCATTTTCCCCGCCTAAAAAAAGGAGAAGACGTGAAATTGGAGCCCCAGAAGAAGGAAATGAGAAACAATATCCCAGCGCGACTCCTTATTTTCCCTAAACCCCTTGTTTAAGTGGTAAAATTTCCATAAGAGGTATCCCCGCTCATCTTCAAGTGCCCCAACAGCCCTTTGTTACTCTCCCATCGAAAATTTTCCGCAGATTAAGCCTAATTTATCCGCACTAAAAGAAGAAGCAACTTAGCCACTGGCATTTCGACTTTCCCGGCCAATTTAGTACCTGAGGTCCAATGAAAATCAGTAATACTTCACATCCAATAAATTCTTCCTGCAATAACCCAGGTGGGACTCCCCCAGGATTGACACTTCCTCGAAATCCTTTGTGGATCGATGAACATTAACGACTTAATCCTTCTATTGTGAAGAGCGAGCTGCTCAAGTGCCGTTCGGCCCTCCAGAACTAGGAAACGATAATGTGGATCGAAGGTTTTACGAGTTTATTGCAGGTCACCGGAGGTAAATAGCGGGAAAATTCTGAAAAAATTTTGTACCCAGGTGGCTGCAATATTTTTTCGGCGTTATTTAATTGCAAACACGCTGTACTGTCTCTGCTGTTGAATCCCTCCAGTCCCTCACCCGGGGATTTTCTCTTTTGGGAAAACCTGGCAACGCTGTTTACGGATGATACAACCGCCAGGGAGAGCCCTTGAGATCATTCAGGTTTACCAAGGGCTTTCGTTAGTCTTAAAAAAACTAGATAAACCAATTTGAGGAATTTACGGTTTATTGTGATGAACAATTCATCAGAAAAATCCACGAAGACTTGAATTTAACCCTCTACCGAAGCAAGAAACAAGGAACATCCCGATTATTCCCGTTCGATTTTATACCTGAGGTCAAATAAAAACGAAAAACCTTTTGCATTCGCTTCTAAAAACATTCAACAAACTGATTGTAATGAAACGGTCGGGAATTTCCCGGCAATGACACTCACAACCATTTTTGAATTGGAAATTAATCCTTCTATTGTGATGGGGAAAATCTCAAGACTATTGTTTGTTCCTGCAAGACCGAGACACCGTGATGGGCAGCGAAGGTTTTATGGGTTTATTGCCGGTCACCGGGGGTACACAAAGGTCCGAGGGCAAAAAATTATTGCACCCAGCAACCCAAGATGCATTTTCTTTACTGTACAAGTCCCCCCGGCTACCTCCACCCCCGGGATTTTTCTCCAATCGCATTGGGAGGCCCTGGCAACGCTGCTTACGCCGACAGGCTGTTGATGCACGTGGGGAACTATTCCAACTCGGCTTACTCAGTACTCTATATACCGCCTCTCAGAAAGCTCACACCATTCAACAGCTAGTTATCTCTGGATATTAATTAAAATCTATCGTTTTAGATTTTTATTCAACTATTGTGGGATAAAGTAAGTGCTTTGGGTTCATTCGCGTTATTTTCAGGGGAGAAATGTCGATTACCGATTTTTTTCTCTCTACACGTTTAGATCCACCGGGAATTTGAGTACTTCAGGGGTAGAATAGAGGAGAGTGGGGCATAATGGACCGTTTTTAATCGTCAGTACCTCGTGACCGCGTTCACTTCGATTTTGCATTTTATTAATTGTTGGATTATCTCGGTAAGAAGTGGTTCTAGAGAAAAATCTCAGATAAAATTTTTGTTTCGAATTTCGTCGGCTACAAAAAACATCTAGAGACATTTCCTCCTAGAGTCAATCATCCTCGAGAAAAATGAAGATTTAACAAGTTATTCATTCAAGTGAAACGATTTCACTCAATCTCGCATTATTTGACACGCCGTTGTTGAAATGAGAGAAAAAATTGTGAATTGCCGAATATTTTACATAAAGTTGTGGTCACATACCCATCGTAGGCCTTCCCGGCGATGGATCCACTCATAACGATCCCCAGGCATCAATAGTTTCACTTCACCACAATTATTCGACACTTCCTTGTCCACTGCATCAAATGCACACTCCCAAGTCCCCAACAAACAAAAAAATCCACTCACCAACTTCACACCCGAAAAAACAACGGTTCCCACAGTCAATATTACACTTTATTTATGGCCAGGCCCATTCGCAGGCCCTAGCCCCAAATAATAAAACAAAAACTATATAAACACAACAGTCCCCGCGGAGAATAACAGACCCGCTGAGGCGCCTCGAACTCGTGAGTGGGCTTCGATAATCAAAACAAAAGCGAGTCAACTCGGACTGTTTTCATGAGGGCGACACAGTCACTTGTGGCGAGCCGTAAGTATTCGGCTTGAACGTAACTCTGTCGAGTCCTCGTCTTCGGATTACTCACTCGTCATTCGCATTCTCAAGTTCGTTCTGTTTGAGATATCCGCGTCTCAGGTTCTCCCGAAGCTCTTTCGCCTGCGTTTTGCCGACGCCTTCGCTCGATTGTTGATCCCACAGTGCCATTTTTGTGCGATTAAAATTTTAGTGGCGTTTCTATAACTCCTTGTTCACTGATTCCTGGAATAATTTAGTCATTGCAGCACCGGCCGGCGTACCATGTCTTTGTGAATAGCCGGGTGGAAGTGCGGGATATTGTATTTTCGGAAAAATGAACAACGGAAATTCAGGATCGTTGGGGGGACACAACGGAGATGATTCTGGCATTTATGGTGAGTTTTTTGACCCATTTTAATTGGTTGCGATGAGTTATTTGGTTTATTTAGCGTGGATTTCTGGGTAAATGGGGTTACTACGGCTGAATTTTGGCCCAAACTCTCATATTTTTGGTTATTGTTCTCAACAATTGATGAATTGTCCAGTGTTCGCACTTCAGTCTATTGCAATCAGCTGTTTCGTTTGTTTTTTCGTGAATTCCTCTCTTTTTCATCGGAAAATACGAGATAAATTGATTTATTGCAACTGAATCTTGATTCAAAATCCGATATTTTTGCTTATTATTACAACGGAATACGAAATGTTCTTCTCGATTCTTCGAATATTTGTTTGTGAATAGAGAAGGGTTGAGGGGTTTTCCTAATTTTTGTCCAATTGCTTGGTTTTCGAGAAGATCAAGATGGGAACCCGGGGGAAACCTCCGGACACTCGTCCAACTCTGCGGATGCCTCAGCACAAGCCGAGAATCGTAGACGGATATCAATTTCAGAGTACAAACAAAGAGGAAAGAAGCCAGAGGAAGCTGCGTTGAATACTTCGTGAGTTTTTTCAACTTCTCACGCCACGTTGTTACGCATTCCCTCGATAATCATGAGTGAATGAAATCAGATGATTAATTTAATTCCTTTTTTATTACCAAGAAATTGCCAACGTACATTTTCCCCGTAAAATCACCAATTTGGTTTTTTTCATTTTTTTAGATTTCATCTTTGCATAGAAAAAATAGCGTCGAGAGAGTTTTTAAACTCTCAATGATTTTTCTGATGTTAAGTTCCAAATTTCCGCACTATTCACTCGACAATATTTTTTTTTACTGAATATTGAATATTTTTAACTAAAAAGTAACAATATTCTAGAGTGAAGAATGAGTAGTCTTGATTGAAGGATAGAATATCATCGAACTAAGAATAAGTCATTCTCGATGAAAGATGAATATTCTCTAATAAAGAAAATCCTTTTTCTCATGATCTAAAATTCATGAATATCAGTTCCATTAACCACTATTCAATGATTATTTAGTTACTGAATAACCTATTTCGTCATTATTCACCCGAGAATATTTTTCGGTGCAAGGACGATGACTCTTCGTTAAAAAAACATAATTTCAGTGCCAGCAACCTCAACAACAACGACATCAACTTCAGAATGGCCCCGAACCCCCCTCCCCCTCCTGCCCCCGCCCCCCCGCCAGTGCGAAATCCCCCCCACCAGAACGGTCAGATAGTCTTCAACAGTATCGAAGACTACTACGCACACATCTACTGCCTCTCAAACCAGGGCCAGCTCCCAACCCTCTCCCAAGTCCAGGCTCACCTTCACCCCCAAGTGAACCCTCCCCTCCCCTCAATGCCAGCCCCCGCCATCCCCGAGCCGCCCCCCAGCACATCCTATCCCCCTTACTGGGGTCAACCCCCCCAGCCTCCACCAAGAAACTCCATCGACTCACGAATGCACAAGGTCGACGAGTGGATCACTCCAAATTCTCGATTCCTGCCCTCGAAGTGCTCTTTTCAAGTCTCCATGCACAATGGCGAGTCCCCAACCCCTAGATTCCCCCCTCCCCCGCCCCAGGAGAAGACACCAAAGATAACCCGAGCGTCAGACCTCAACGACCCCAGCCAGGCAACTTCGTTCGCAGAATGGAGGAAAAGAAAATATGGGACTGAGGATGCCCCCACCCCTACGAGCACCAACAGTTCGAAATTCCGGAGGACTGACTCCTGGAGGGACAAGGGAGGCCCTCGAAATGATCGTCGAGGTCGTCAGGGTCAGAAGAATCAGGGCGGCTGGGACAACTCAGCGTCAGGGTCAGGGTCGGGCGCAGCTGCAAGTGCTTTGGACTCTTGGGATGACGATTCAACTGTTAAACCCCAGAGCTCAGGGAATTTGGAGTCTTGGGACGATGAGGCTCCAGCTCCAGCTGCGAGTAATCAGACTCTGGACTCGTGGGACGATGGACCAGCGCCAGAACCCAACAAGAATCTCCAGAGTAATCTCGACAGCTGGGACGACGACACACCAGCGCCTGTGGCTAACAAGAATTTAGAGAATTTGGAGTCTTGGGACGATGACACTGCAGCCCCTGGACCCAGCGCGGTTCCACCGAGTGTCCAGAGTATTCCGGAGTCTTGGGACAATGAGCCACCGAGGAACTATGGGTCCTGGGAGGCCGGTTCTGCGCAGAGGAAACCCAAACCAATGCCGAAGGCAGCGCAGAACGGTCTGGAGTCCTGGGACGACGACGAGGCACCACCTGTTCCCAGCGCCAATTGGGTAATTGTTTATTTCAGAGAATTTTGGTTTCATTCGTGGAGATGTGTTTTTGGGGCGAATGTAAAATGGGCGCGTTGAAGGATGAAATATTGTTGAATCCAAAATTTCGTCTCTCATAAATTGAAATTGTTAATCATCTTCATTTACTCATTTTGCACAGCTAATTTTGAAGAACAGTAAATGTGATTCAGCTCTTGAATTAAGAATATCGTTATTGTTCATTCGGGAATATTTTTTCGACGTATGCTAAACTTCAAAATCCTTTATTATTGACCCTCACATTCTTCACTGGACCTCTTTTTCATGACTTTAACTCCACAAATATCTGTCCTGTCCCCAGGGTAACACTTCAGCTCCCCCTCCACCAAAACCCTCTCAGGATGGTTTAGAATCCTGGGACGACGACGAGGCACCACCTGTACCCAGCGCCAATTGGGTAATTGTTTATTTCAGAGAATTTTGGTTTCATTCGTGGAGATGTGTTTTTGGGGCGAATGTAGAATAGTCGGGTTGAAGGATGAAATATTCTTGAATCAAAAATTTCGTCTTTCATAAATTGAAATTGTTAATCATCTTCATTTACTCATTTTCCATAGTTAATTTTGAAGAATAGTGAATGTGATTCAATGATTATTCAGTTCTTGAAATAAGAATATCGTTGTTGTTCATTCGAGAATATTTTTTCATTCAAGACTAAAATATTCTCAATTAAAGTATCTTAAAGACGTATTGTCACAAAATCTGTCCTGTCCCCAGGGTAACACTTCAGCCCCCCCTCCACCAAAACCCTCTCAGGACGGTTTAGAATCCTGGGACGACGAGGCACCTGCACCTCAAGCCTCCAATGAAGTCCTGGACTCCTGGGACGACAATCCCCCGCCACCGCCACCTGCCAATCCACCACCTGACTCCTGGGACTCAGGTAATCAACCCTCGAGGAGTAACGGCTGGGGTTCCAACCGATCCCAGAGGAACTTCCGAGACAACAGGAATTATGGGAACAACTCTAGAAACGACTCGAATCACCGATCGAGGAGTGGCTCCAGGGACAACTCTGAACCCCATAAATTTAGACGTGACTACAGGGGAGGCAGCAGATCCAGCGACAACTCAGACTCCGGTTACTCGAATCGTCAGGGGTTTCGAGGGAACAGGGGGAGACAGCGATCTGACTCTCGTGAGTCTGGCAACTGGGGGAGAAACAACTCCAGAGATAGATCTGAAAATCGTCCCTGGAACAATCGAAACAACTTTGGCGACAGGAACAATGACAGGAGGAATTCAAGGTCTTCCTGGGGACAGCCTGAGCCACCACCAGCGCCCCCTGCTGACACCACTGGAGAGTCCTGGGACGACGACGTGCCAACACCTCAACCCAGCCAACAGTTTCCTGTGTCTTGGGGAAGGCAGAAGACGAGTCAAAATGCTCAGGATTCCTGGGATAATTCCTCTGGACAGAGCAGAAACTACGGGAATTCGAGTGGTCCAGCCGAGCCTCTCAGTGCTGAGGGTCTGGAGTCTTGGGATGATGATGTGCCTCCCCCAGAGGCTAGGAAGAATCCCGAGGAAGTGCCTCCAGCTGCTCAGAACGCTGGCAACAAGATGAGTGATATGGTCAGGGCACTGTGCACCACCTGCTCCTTCGAGATTATTCATCGATGTAAATTCGAGAAAGATTCTTCGACCAATGAGGAACTCAAACCTGGGGAGTTGTTCACCTGTACCTGCGGCATGGCCTTCCTCCACGAACGTGAGTGCATCCATAAGGTTGGGGAGAGCTACGCTCCCATCACCATGGAGACGAGCCTCATGAAGCAAGTGGGGAGGAGTCATGTTTATCTGTGCAAAGTCTGTGACTTTAAGTTTGTTATTGAGAATCTGAAGGATGGGAGCCACTTCTTCAAGCAGATGACTAATAAGAAGGGGGATAAAATAAGGCAGGGGACTACTATCAATGATCCTGTGGGACTGGAGGCCTTCACGTTTCATATTGAGAGGGTTAACAATATCGCTTGTCTTGGGGCGGAACCTGGGATTGTTGATGCCTCTTTCAAACATAAGATGGCGAGCATTTGCCAGTGCAATCAGGGCTGCTGCACTATTTATCATGAGTGCGAGGCTTACAGTGGACTGTTGGAGGAGGGCGAGACGCTTTAATTTCCTTGAGTCGGAAAGGATTGGGGGGATTTTTGGGAAAGAACAGGGAGTTTTTGGTTCTCAGGGCGAGGATAGTCTTGATTCCGCAATAGATTTTTTTTTATTGAGAAATTAATAGTTTCTATTTAATAATTAAACTTGATCCAAGAATAGAAGTTCTTCAGGAATTTAATTCTTCAAGAATAAAAATTCTTGATTAAAGGATAACAGAATATTCTCATTTCACGAAGGGAACACTCAACTCCAGAATTCCAGATAAATTTTGCTGAACTCAAAATCCTTCGTTATCAGATCATCGATATTTATTCCCAATTCAACTCGTTCCACGTTCTCAATTCAAGAAAGCACTCCTCAATTTTCACATTCTCCTTTCTCCGTAAGTTGACATTTATAAATATTTGTTTAGTTTACCCATTCGATTGATAGAGATTTATCATCCAACAAAAAAATCTCACGTCAACTTTGAAGGAATCTTGTTTAGTTCCCCATGAAAATCAATCAAAATATCCTATATGGTGGTCAGTGCCTTTGACAATTCGATGCAGATAAAAGTATCGAAAAAGAAAAAAAAATCGCACTCATGGTTCTTTTGACTCATTAATTACCCAACAATTCAATAAACATTAAGTAGATTTCAATTCCCATTTTCTACTCTATTTTTCTTTTCGAGTTAATGCACCCAAGTATTTAAGTGAGAATATTTTACCGCCGGAAGTAACAAATGTAGAACAGTTTGTCACGTTTTTTATGTGTTTTTTAATTGAATGTTCGTGATTACTGAGTCGAGTACCTGTCGATGCAATCAGGAATTGCAGGATTTATCATGAGTGTCAGAATAAAAAAAAACGACGATATTGGAACCAATGGAAATGACATTCCTCTAGATGTTTAGTTTACAAATTTTGCATAGTCTATTTTGTTGAAAGAGTGATACTCAAAGTCCCTTGAATAACCTCCACATTTTCCAAAGATAAATAATAAAAATACAGTGGAAAATATATCTCTGACCAAGCAGTAGAGACAGAAAATATTCCAACGTAATATTTGCAATAATCAGCTGATTTATATTTTGTTCTTCACGTGCAGTAATGAATCAATAAACATTGAATTGAATTCAATTGAGTTTTGCATGAATATTTCTTAATTTTTGTCGATAAATATCAAATCTTCGTTTCTTTATATCAAATGGTAATGAAAATGAAAAGGTGGTTAGCATTTCTCACTATTCTGTTGTGTCTAGTGTTCCCTTGCATTTCCCTATTTCGTTCGAACCATTTCATGCAAAAATTCAATTACAATTCACCTCAAGCATCTGTTATTTTTTCATTATTGATGCAACGAACTGTCTCTGCGAGAATATTTTACGAATAAAAATAACGAGTGTTAATGAGTTTATAACAGTTTATTAGAGTTTTTATTTATGGCTTAACAGAATATTCATAATTGTTGCGTTGAATCTATCATCGCCTTGCTTCACGCTTCGAGGCCAGGTGTTCACTATAAATGAAAGGAAAAGTACTACGTGAGTTTTGGCTGATTCTATTGAAGCATTTCGTAGCTTATCTGCGCATTTTTTAAATAGAAATGTTCAATAGAAAATATTCTACAGAAAAACTCAATGGAATTAGATTGTTCTGCACTACTTGTTCTATTGACTATTTTATTTTTTAATGAAAAAATAATAAAAATAGGGTGAAAAAAACTCTGAAAATTCACGTCGAAGAATTCATGCAGAAAAATTTGGATAGAAAGGTGAAATAGTTTTTTCTATAGAATAGAAAAGTGGATAGAATTTACAATCGAATTTGCTGAATTTTTGTCTAAATTTCTTCATTCGTGAAATCCTTGATAAAAAACGTTTAAAAAAATTCATAAATCATCAAGTATCATACCCTAGATCCATCGGACCCAATGGATTCCTCAGCCCAGTGCACTCTCCTCATCTTCCTCGACTCTGATTTAATCGAATCATTGTGAATATAATCAGAAGATTCTGGATTCATCTCGATCGTCGTAACTCTCTCATAACGTCCTACGACCCCAGATTTTCCTGATTTATCTCGTGATAAATCCTTCCTCCCAGGGGTCTTAGCTCCCTCATAAATTCTGATCCTAGCACACCCGAATCCCTCGACACAAGAATCCAATTCCCCATTCGTCTCAGGGGAAAATTCTTCTTTTTTTCTTGAGTTATAATCACCATTGGAACATTGAGGCTGGGATTCAACTCGATTAGGTCTCGCAGAACCTTCATTCGACCTTCTGCGCTTCTCTCGAAGCTGCACTTGATCCTTCCCATCGTCATCAAAATCCGAAAGTTCGATTAGGGAGAAGGAGGGCCAGGTGACCTTGCAGTTGGAACATCCAACTTTGATTTTCCTCTTGCGAGGCTCGAGGCTTCTCGGGTTCTCGTTGGATTCGTCGAGGTAATCTTCCTCAGAATGTACTTCTGCTTTTATCGTAATTGTATTCTTGAGTTGGCGTGAGAGAACGAGATTATTCGGAGGCTGATCTCTCCGAAGTTGTCTTTCGGGTGAAGCATTTCCCTGAATTGTTGACTTGCTGTCGACATTATTACTCTTGTTCAGAGGATCTTGTCTAATTTCTCCATTTTTACTTGGGGCTGACGGTGTTACAGACGTCTTCGAGAGCCTAAACATTGAAATACATTTAGTGGAAGAGTAGAACATGTAAATGAGAGCATGGGGTAAATAATCTGGATTTAATGTATGGGACACAGGTGAGGTGAAATAACCTTCTTAAAACCTCGATGTCTCCCGACTAAACGATACGATTCAAATGAGTCACATCTCATTTTCAAGCCTGTGAAAATACCTTTAAAGTGAAAAAAAATAGTTTGAATTTCACTCTGCCGATCTCGACTTATTCCCCCTCAAACAAAAAAACATTTTATCTTCTCAGAGAAGCGAAGCCTGGGGAATAGAAGAAAATCGGCTTCAATCGTCAGTAACTCAACATCGACAGAGTGAAATTCACAATTTTTTTTCTTCATTTTACAGATTTCCTTTCAGACTTTGAAATGAACTTCGATTTACCGAAATCGCACCGTTGGATCGAGATATCGAAGATGAAGATTCGTCGTCAACTTCATGTGGAAGAATGAAACTACTCACGAGTATTTCGAGAGCTCCTGCGTGTTATTCGACGAAACACAGTCATATAGATATTTGGCCGAAAAAATGTTGTCATATTTCCCACTAGAGCGATGTGGCTCCGTGAAAATGACCACATCCTTTCCGGGCTCCGAATATTTTCCTCCGTAAGCCTGAAAAATCGCGAGTGAATCAATGGAAAATCGACGAGAAGACGGTAACCTTGGGACAGTGGCACGAGTGACGAAGGAATTCTGATGATCGACAATTACCTGGACAATGCTGATTATTTTGTAAGTCTCAACCTGATCGAATCCATCCAAATGAAATTTCATTGGTTCGTTGTTAACGTAAAATACGCGTTTGTTGAACCACGTTGTTGGTGCTCCCTGAGATGCCATGTTAACTGATAAATTCACAATGCCGATAGTCACTGAGGTGACAAAGGGAGTATGAGAGTGCGGTACGTTGCGTCAGGGTCACGGATGTAAACATGAGATTAATTTCATAAACATACAGAGGTGGGAACTAGTTGATATAGAAATCAACGGCCGAAGTGAAGCCGTAAAAAGGTTTAACTTTTTAATGAATATCTCGAAATCTAAGGGAGATAGCAAAATTTTTGTCATGACCTTTTTTGTAGAGCGGATTGAGGGCCACAAAAAGGTTATTACGAAAATTTCGTTATCTCCCTTAAATTCGGAGATATTCCTCCAAAACGCAGTTGAGGGCTGAATTAACTTGAACTGATTTAATATTTCAGTTGGTTATCCATTATTTATCAGAAGTATTTTATTAGTCGAGTTTGATGATCCCAAAACATGAAAGTCATGAAAATTTGAACTACTGGGGAAAATTGTCACTTATTAGTATTGAAGGCTATAAGAAAATTGAATTCGTAAATTTTTAAAATGTTTATTTCAAAATTACACGAAATGTTACATATTTTTATCGTTGAGGTCGTAAAACACAGAATATCAAGTCATGAAAAAGTCCAGATATAAAAAATAAAAAGTTGGAGAGGAAATTAAAGAAGATTAAATGAAAAAATTGGCGAAGACGATGAGTGGAATAGTTCTTTATGGTCTCTTCCATGGTTTGCTATCCCCTATGAATGCTTTCAATGTCTTTGGATCTTTGAAGTAACGGTGGAGTTGAGGCAATATAAATCGGCGGAACCGACATTGTATACTTTGGCTTGAACGAGGATGATCAAAGATCTGCAATAAAATCAAAGAAGATTAGAAAATTAGATTAGTACATTGGTAAAAAAAATTCAATGAAATTCTAAATTTTTCTGCAGAATAATTCAACTGAAATTTGCAGTTTCCATTGATTTTTTCATAAAATTCTGAATTTTTTGGACGAAATTCCTCGCTTAAAATTTCCAAAAATTGTACCGGAAATTTAATCCAAAAATTTTCAACACGACTCAAAGGACTCACATTTGCTTCCGTCAATTCCTTCCAGACCCTCGAGCTCTTGGTCTCGCCAAGCAGACCTTGATCGATTAAGTACTGAATGACCTTTCGATCCTCAGCCTCAGTCCAAACACGTGGCCTTGAGGATCAATCCAAATAGAACAATTAAATACTGAGAAATGCAGATTATCCCACGATCAATAATTTCTCTAGAATTTTCCCCCAAATCTTTGTCTCAATTCAATTCTCACTCACTTGTACGAAGTGTCCTTGCTTGAAGTCGCTCCTACAGAGCTGCTTCTGGCTCTGCCCAGAGAAATGTCCCTCGAAGCTTCAAGCACGTTCTTTCGCTGGTTTCGAAGCTGTCTGTTGTGCCTTGGGAATGAGTCTGACCAACGTCTCCTTGGGGATCAGTAAAAAAACAACAATTGAATATTGAAAAACGAAAATCATCCCACAATCAATAATTTTCTATAGAATTTTCACCCAAACGTTTGTGTCAATTTCTTTGTCACTCACTTGTTGGTCATGTCAGCCTCTGGCTTTTGTTCGTAAGAACTCCTCCTTTTTATGACGAGAGGGATGTCATTGGGGTCTTTGAAAGTCTTCTGTTGCTCATTTGGATCCTCCTCGTTTGTTGTGTTCATAGTATTAATTTGAATTAATCCATTATCGATGGGTATTTCAACAGGATCTTTATCACTTGGTATTCTGAGGATATAATATTAATATCAATTAAATCATAACAACGATTTATTAATAATTTATACGGCAAGGCATTGGTTACCAAAAAATTGAAAAAAATACTGAAATTCTGGGGAAAACTTGAAAGATGGCAAAAAAAACTTGTTTCATTTTACAGAAACTGACGGAAGTGAGTTAATTTCCCCTCATTTAGTATTCATCCACAAATGCCTGTTTTTGTCCTCATGATATTGCCCAAAAAATGGTGCTGAGTATAAACTCACAGATATTTTCCAATATCTTGAAGCTGATTCTTGTTAATACTGTCCCAGAGCCATTGAGGATTGAATTTCAATGGGTATTCCCCAGAGATGGTGTTTGAACGAGACAAAACGACAGTCTCACGATCTGGAATGGTCACACGGCCTCCGTACCTCTGTATCAAAGCAACAGTGTGTTAGACTAGGATATCCGATCGAATACCGCAAAAAATTGACGTTTTTACTCACTCGAATGATGTCGGCTGTCTGCAAAAACTCAGGCACCTCAAACCCATCGAGATAAAACTTCAGAGGGAAATTTCTCTCCACCAACAAGTGTGAATTTACGTTCATTTTCCCGACGATTGAGATGAATTTTGGGGATTCGAAACTGCGTTTCACGTGAAGAATGTTAGGCGTGCTTCGAAGACGGCGTCTGTAGACGGAATGAAGACTGAGCGTTTGCCGGGCCGTCGGCACGGGCACTCAGGCATTTGTGGTGCACAGTGTTTACTTTTGCGGAACGGAAGCCACGCCGAACAGTGGTTAGTGGGTAGGGGTAAAAAATGGCTTCCACTCGAAAGCGTATAGCGCGCGCGCGTGGTCTTGTGATGCTCGTGACCCTTGTGACCTTGTGGCCCTTGTGAACCTCGTGAAAACATGTTTAGACACCATTCGTCGGAAAAACAAATATTTTGTCTTACGATTTCGTGTCGTGACGACTGCATCGCGTTCTAGCTGACTTTACTACAGAATTCAGTAGCGAAGTGGTAAAACGGTTTAAGTCAATTTTGACTATTGGCCAGTTTTCGATGAATATCTCAGAATCTAAGGGAGATAGCAAAATTTTTGTTATAACCTTTTTTGTAGAACCGATTGAGACCTGCAACAAATATAATTATGAAAATTGCGCTATCTCCTTTAGATTCGGAAATATTTCTCAAAAACTCAATTGGGAGATAAGTCGACTTGAATCGTTTTACCACTTCACTACTGAATTATTAATAAATATTTAAATAAAGGGATGCCTATGAGGATTATGACGTCACATATCCTCAATGTCAACGATAAACAGTGAATAAAAGTGATGAGTGCATACATGTGATGGATTTTTCACGAATGAAGAAGAAAGAAGATGCAAAAAACGAGAGGTAGCCGAAGAAAGACAACTACAATGGTAAGCCGTCTTTTTTGTCGTCATTCGATTCATATCATTTTCGCGGGAAAACATGCCTTCACTCAGCGCACGTGGCCTTGTGCTGCTCGTGACCCTTGTGAAAGCATGTTTATACACCGTTCGTCGGTAAAACAAATATTTCGGTCCTTACCTGACGAGCATATCGCGTTCTAGCTGACCGATATCCTTTACCATAGAATTATTAAAAAAATATTTAATAAAATAATTTTTATGAGTATTGTGACATGACATATCCTCAATATCAACAATACACTATGAAAAAAATTATGAAAAATGAGGAAAAGTCTCAATAGAAAAAGTTGTATAGAAACTTGAAATTCAACTGATTTTTTCTACGAAATAGTTTTTATTTGACATCTTTTATAAAAGAAAAATCGCTCAGTAAAGGTGCGAAATTCATGAATAAAATCGACAAAAAACTAATAGAATTTTCAATAGAAGTTGGATAGAAATTCAATAGAATTTACTGTCGAATAATTTTCAAGAATTGTAGTAAAAAGTTCCCTTTCGTATTCAGCAGAAAAGCCGACAATCTAAATCCTCCCCGAACAAAAATAAAGAATAATTGCGTATTGACTAGTCCCGCGTCACTTTCCTCACGAATCAATGATCCGTCTAACACCGTTACTCTCTTTTTTCGCAAATCCCCGTTGCCCTCGGGAGCTGATAAATACATTTGCCCCCGTCCCCTCGCCCTTATCCCAGATATTCCCGAGGTTTCGATTGGCGGCGACGTGAAACCGGGAAAAACGACAGCTCGGGGGAGTCGAAATAGTCCAGTTCCGAACCAGAAGCACCGAGATGAGTATCATGAATGAGACCTAAGGTTCTAGAAGATGAAAAGCCAAAGGAAAATAGGCTAAGGCTGAAGCCACCTCGTAATTTCTCAGATCCCTCGCTCTCCTCTCATTTTCCCGGGGCCGGGAGATTATCTTAAATCCCAATTCGATACTGAAATTTACGAAGTATCGCGCCAGGAGGAGAAATCATATAATATCATTTAACATACAGTGATGCTGGATTTTTTATGAATGTCATTTAATTCGTACCATCGACTAAACCCTCAACATACCACTTCAAATTGAATAAATTCAGAGAATAATGTAATCTACTGCGCACCCGTCGTGCGCATGCGCAATAGATCCCCCATCTCGCAACCCCGGGTAAATGCCGCCTCTGAACACACTTATTATCCCCATAATGAAGTCCTTCATTTCCCCCTCACGACTGTTCCCTCCCCCCCCCCATTGCCATTAATGACCAGTTTATCGCGCCCTAAACTACCCCGCGATATATAATCTCGCCGGATCGATGAAGTTGCATTCGAGTGCTCCCAAGTTTTCTAATAGCCACTAAAGCCCGGACGCCTGCGCGTGAATCAACCACTTCTGCGCGGCATTAAACGCATTATCCGCATCTATTCAACCATGTTGACAATCTCACTACCCCTCCCCTCGTCAAAAAATTTACCCCAAAATCCTCAACATCTCCTTGGGAGCTCGTCCCAAACTTGCAGCCTGAAATTACACCGCAATAGATTTGTTGTCACGCCAAGTTAGATTGGAGTGAATCGAGGGTTGCAATGGGGGTGGTTTTATCTTTACGCACATGCGAGAGGACCACTGGAGGCTTCTGTGCTCTCGGCATATCCCGGGCGAAGAGTAGCGCGCGCCTCCCATTACCTCACTCACTCCCTCTCGCTCGGTGTTACTCTCACCCTCAGACCCTCGGATGAATTCTCGTCGCGCGCTAGTCGAACACATCATTCTGGGGTGGCTCTGTCGCGCGTACAACGGACGCGATCAGTTCGATATCGGACGTTGCGCTGACTGACACGCGATTATATCAATTGGCAATCGCAGCGCGATGTAATGACAAGATGTGAGGACTCGAGTCATTGAAAGTAATTATTGCAAAAACTGTCGTTCTGAGTGAGTAGAATTTTCGTCATCAATTGGGGAGATTGGGATTGCATTGGAGAGGGGGGTGGTTATCATTGCTTGTTTATCCATGTGTTGTGTCATGATTTACTGTTCTCCACCCTGGGCCATCGTCTCCAGTCCCCCTTTCAGTCGGCAATGTCTTCATCCGTCGCCCACGTCATGCAAATTCACTCCCCATCTGTATCCACTGTGCACTTTATAAATGATGACATTGATACGCTGAAGGAGGTGGTTCGGGGTGAATATTTCAGTCTTAGGGGGCTGGAAAGTCCCCGGACGGGTACACATGGGAGAGTGGATGTGTGAATTAGACATTTCGGCTTTCTTTCATGGATCAGTGGGAGTTATGGCTCGATATGCATATGATTATAGGATCAATGCTTTTGGGGTTTATTTCGCAGATGTTTATCTCGGGAATATAAATATGTGAATGGAGGGGGAGACGAAATGATGTTGAATTCATAAATAGGATAATTCGGTACAAAATTACGCTCTATTTTCATGATTGCCGTTAATTCTCGTGGAATAATTTAATTGAAGTTTGGCGTTTTCATTGAGTATTTCATCAAATTTCGAATCTTCAGTGAAAAACATTCGATATATTTTTGAATACGTTGCTATTATTTTTTATTTGGCAATGTTGATAATCGAATTAAATTATTGAATTGAATTCAATTGGACAGGAAATTCAGTTTAGGGGGAAAAATTCTGAAATTTTCAAATTCAATGAAATTCCAAATTTTGAATTTTCAATTAATTAAAAATTAAAAAATATATCTATTTGATGGTTAATAATTTGCATTGAATTCTATAGAATTGTAATTTCAAGCTCCCATTGATTTTTCCATTAAATTGTGAATTTTCAATGATGGATGACATTTTTACGGAGCGTTTCAGGCTAAAATTCAACAGTACATGTCACCCATTCATATTCCTTCACACGATTTTTTTTTCAACATTTAAATATCCATTTTCCGTGTTTTTTTTCTCTCGGAAAGGGTAAGAGTAGGAAGGGATGGTATAAATATGTGATACGCCTCGTGGGATTGACGTTTCGGACCCTTCGGTTATTTCATTCTTTCCGGTCGGCTGGAGAACCTGTGGAACTTGAAAGATAATCCGATAGGGAGAGGGTCAATGTTGGGACACAGTAGGGCCTACGGCGAAATAGGCTCGAGGGGCGAAGGGGTTGGGTCCCTGGGATCTTGCTGCGGGGGCTGATATCGCTCAATTCTGCATTTTTATGCTTTATCTCACCCTCTTCTTCGAGTCTGTTTATCTCTCCTCGGAGCCATCGTTTGTTTTGCTCTCTCGATCGGGCGGAACAGTTGCATAGTTTAATCTCTTGTTGTTCGCAAGTTCGATCAGCTCTTTTTCAATGTTTTTTCATTGTTTGCGTTATTTGCAATTCCATTATAGAGTCATTAGGAATTTTATACGAGTTATGGATAATAATAGTCAGAATGGGAAATATGTTCACATAAAAGTGGAATATGAAGTGAGGGAATGAGCACAAATATTTTTGTGGAGGGAATTTCAATTTTATTTCATTCTTAATTATGACAATCTCTGTTGTTTGCTACTGTTGTCAGATTCCGTTAGCTTTTTCTCATTAGCGGGAGAAACATCGTTTATATTTCCGCCTGGTTAACATTACCCCTTTATTTATTTGTTGTCGACGAACGAAGGAAACATTGAAAGTATCATTTATTTTTGGAAATTTATGCAAAATACAGTCATGAATATTTTCAGTCTTTTTGGGCTATTTGCAATTCCATCACGAACTCATTAAGAATTCGATACAAGTTGTGGATAATAATAGTCAGAATGCATTCAAAGTTTGATGAGAACGGGAAACAGAATCAGGTGGGAAATATATTCACACAAAAGTGGAGTGTGACGCGAGGGAATGAGCGCATGCTTTCGATACTTCACATTTAGAAAATATATTCAGTAATTTCGTAAACGAAATTTCGCAAAAAAAATTTCTTCACGAATGGGATCATCTCCTCAGGAATACGATGGTCTTCACCCCAGACATAAATGCTCGATGAATATCGCCGTAATATTGTCCAAGGTACCGAATTTGAGGTGAAATTCTGAGATGAGAGACGACGAAATAAGGGGAATAGCACGGATGACAGGAGTATGGCATGTGGAGCGCAAGTCACCACCATGAGATAGCAGTGATAAAGAATAACATGACGAGAGAATAAAACGTGATTCCGGGAGTGCAACAGTGAAGATAACTTCATTATCACGTCGCAACCAAATACTCAGAGGTAATTGCATCTTGCTGGGGTAGAAATTAATCTCGGATTTTGTTGGTAATTGGTTTTGGAATCAAATGGGAGAAACAGAGGGATCGGACTTTTCTAATTTCATCAACAAATAATTAACAATTATTAAATTATGATCAAAAATTTCTACAGAAATTTCTACGCCAAGTTTTCTAAATTTTTTGTTCGATTTTTTAAATTAAAATAGAAGAAAAAAAAGTCTGAAAATTCATGTCGAGAAATTCTTACACAAAACGTTGTATAGGCAGATAAAATTCTATTGAGTTTTTTATATAAAATGGTTTCCATCGGATATTTCCCATTAAAAAAGGAAAAAATTCCAATCGAATGAGTTGAACGGAAAATAGGCATCCGCTGGCTTTTTTCTGTCAAAAAAATCCCCTGAAAAAAAAACCCAATAAAATTCTCTTTCTATTAAACTTTTTCACACGCGAAGAGACAGAATTCCAAATAAACATGAATAATCCCAGAATGAAAAAATGTTGGACCAAGTGAAAATGCCCTAATGGCTGACCATTGAATAGAGTTTGATTAATTTTCCCCGGAAAAAACTTTTCGTTCCATTATTTTTCATGTGTACTCGAGCGCACTCCGCAGCTAAATTGCCCCTCATAATTAATAACCTCGGAAATTGAAATGATTGCGAGCGAATATTCATAACAATAGTAGTGAAATTTTCGCATTCATCTGGTCTACATTTTCATCGGGTTTTGCCAGTGATATTGAAAGCTTCCGTTATGATCCCACGGGTTTGCCATTGGAGTATTCATGAAGCCTCGTAGACTTCACTTATTTCCCCATTTCCCTGGATTATTACTCTCGGGAGTGGAAATTAATCGACGCAACGTCATTTAGGAGAACTGCGGTTGGTGAGGTTGCTCGGGCTGATGGCCCGGAGCGGGCTTCACCAGCACTGGTGGTGGCTCCTGATAACTATTCTCGTGTGCCTATTGACGGGACACTCAGCTATACCACAACGACCCACTCGCACTGGTATACCAATGCCTCACCGCGATAAAACAACGGATACAGCAGCTGAAATTGTTATTTTTTTACGTGACAAATGTAACTCTGGGGGACCTGCGGCGGTCAATGGGAATGAGATCAATCAACTCCAGGAGTTCCTCGGGAAGTTCGAGGAGAATGGGGGAACCTCGGTCAACATGCTGGATAAATCTCGTGAGTGATTGATTTTTATTGATTATTCTCACTTCTCGGCTATTGCAATACTGGGTGAAACTTTTTTTTTTTCACTTTATTCAGGAGTGAAATAGCACTTGAAACTTTTGTAACCGATATTTTTGTTCACGTCATTTCATGACTACTGTCCCGACGCCTGTCCCCGTAATTCTATGGGCCTATATTAAATCCGGGTTCATATCCCTGTTTTCGCATGCGTTATTGAAATAAAAAATGCAATTATTGTTTTTTTCTAAATCTCGAGAATCGACATTTCATGAGAGGGTGAAGGGGAGACGCTTGTATGCGGAGGCTTGAAATTTTTACCCAACAAGGGGAGAAGGTTGCAGAATCGATTCTAGCCACTCTTGTCCCTCCGCTTGCATGCGTTGTCTGAATAAAAAATGCAATTGTTAACAAATGAAATTGTTAACAATTGTTCCAAGTGAAAATGAAAATTTTTTATTTCGACATTTCTGGCGCCACCGAGGGTGTCATTGGCATTAGAGGAGTCAATAAATACGGAATCAACATTCACTTGGCGAAAAAATTAGATTTTTGTGAAAGTTGATTTTCCCCCGGGAAAAATTCAAGAACTGACACTTTAGGACCGCGTGAAAAAAAAAAAATTTATTTTGACATTTCTGGCGCCACCGAGGGTGTCATTGGCAAGAGAGGAGTCAATAAATACGGAATCAACATTCACTTGGCGAAAAAATTAGATTTTTGTGAAAGTTGATTTTCCCCCGGGAAAAATTCAAGAACTGACATTTTAGGACCGCGTAAAAAAAAAATTTTTATTTTGACATTTCTGGCGCCTCCGAGGGTTTCATTGGCATTAGAGGGGCCAATAAATACAGAATCAAACTTCACTTGGCGAAAAAATTCAATTTTAGAGAAAGTCGACTTTCCCCCTGAAAAAATCCAAGATCTGACACTTTGGCCCCCGGTGAAAAAATTTTTTTTTCAGTTTTCACTTTTTCCCCATACTTTTAAGAGTTCTGAATAGCCCGTCGCTTAAATAGTTGGAATCAACGTTCACCCGGCTAAAAAATTCGATTTTGGCGAAAGTCGACTTTCCCCCTGGAGAAACCGGAAATCTGACCCTTTGGCTCGGAGTGAAAAAATTTTTTTTTCAGTTTTAACTTTTTCCACATACTTTTGATAGTTCTGAATAGCCCGTCGCTTAAATAGTTGGAATCAACGTTCACCCGGCTAGAAAATTCGATTTTGGCGAAAGTCGACTTTCCCCCTGGAGAAACCGGAAATCTGACCCATTGGCTCGGGCCGAAAAAAAAATTTTTTCACTCCGAGCCAAAGGGTCAGATTTCCGGTTTTTCCAGGGAGAAAGTCGACTTTCGCCAAAATCGAATTTTTTAGCCGGGTGAACATTGATTCCAACTATTTAAGCGACGGGCTATTCAGAACTGTCAAAAGTATGTGGAAAAAGTGAAAACTGAAAAAAATTTTTTTTTTAGTTTTCACTTTTTCCACATACTTTTGATAGTTCTGAATAGCCCGTCGCTTAAATAGTTGGAATCAACGTTCACCCGGCTAGAAAATTCGATTTTGGCGAAAGTCGACTTTTACCCTGACCCCTGACCCACGTGAAAATGAAATTTTTTTTTCGTCTTTTCTGTCACCTCCGAGGGTTTCATTAGCATCAGGGGGTCAATAGAATACAGAATCAACGTTCTCTATTTTTTATTTAAACACCGCCTGCAAACGGAGAGCTGAAGGTGGTTAAAATATATTCTGCAACCCTCTCTCCTCGTTGGCTACAAATTTCAACCCTCCGCATACATGCCTTCCCCCCTCCCCCCCCTCGTGAAATCCCGCGGTCTCGGTAGTACAGAGGAGGACTTCTCAGGGCCGAAAAGAACTGAGGATTCGAATGGTTTCCGGAAAAGTACGTCGCAGGACTGATTAGGACTACCAGGTCAATCTAGATCTGGAGAGATCTTGAAAGACCTGTGTACGTCCAATCAGAACCAAAACGTGGACTCGGGTCACGGTTTGCCCTGAATAATATTTTTTTTTTCCATTGAATAATATATATTGAAGAACAAATTATGGACAATTGCATATTTTTTAATAGAAATCAGTGCAAAAAAATGATATAATTTCTTTATTCGTATAAAATATCATTGTTCTCCTTCTATTCACGGTTGAAATTTTTGTATTGTATCTTCTCCATTTTAAATGCATGCACAAAGAAATAAGTACTATTTATTCGGCCAAATAATCGGCTCCAAATAACAACTTCAAACAGGATTTCCCCATGATTGACTATTTAAAATGGTATTTCCATTCGGTTTTCAAGGGATTGTCACCAACTCCGCGATATTCCACTGAACCGCGAAGTTTGTTCAACAGAAATTTCCGCGATTTTTCAGGTTTTCATGGAGAATTACAATGAAGCGGTGGTGAATTCACCAGAGACATTGAATATTTGTGTTGAATTATTCAGGAAAACAGGAGTATTCCCGCGGTTTCGTGATGCTGCGGTGAAATGTCATTCGCTTACACGGAAAAGGGAGAACTGACTCGGAATATTTGACTAGAATGGGGAATTTCATTCATCAAGGCTATTAATGTTTGATTCTGCTCGTGACATTGAGTGATAGAGTCATGAAACAGCAGGAAAATATCGTATTTCTTGACTCATTTGACACGAGTGTTGGCAGACGTCCGGGAATTTTTAGCTTTTCACAAAAAAAAAAAACAGCACAATTTTCCAGAGGCATTGATCATTTATGTTTAATTGCTAAAAAAAAGGAAACGGGGAATTTCATTCATCAAGGCAATTAATGTTTGATTCTGCTCTTGGCATTGAGCGATGGAGTCATGCAATGGCAGCAAAATCTGCATTTCCATTATGAATATTCAGTGCTCCATAAAAAATTGGCTCCAATTGTTCATAATTCCCGAAAGAGAATGTTCCACTCACGTCGGAAAAAATTCTATTGAAAAACCCAGCGAAATTTTCAAGGGAAAATATTTCATTGAAAAAACCAATAGAATTGGATTTTTTAATGGAACTTACTCTATCGCGATATTTTTTTTCGATATTCCTCGGCTCAAATTTCCTAAATTTCTTTAATGAAAAAAGACTTTTCTCTCCGTCCGACCGGAATTCCTCAACATTTGAGTTTAATTCACGTAATGATGCATTTTCTGGCGTAATGACCTGAGCGGTTGGCGCTCTCGTTAAAACCCAAGTGGATCGATCCTCGAGAGCCCGATATTATCTATACTTTTTCCTCCCCCAACCTCCACGCCCTATCCCGTCCGATGAAAAGAGCGAAAAAAAAATCTTCATATTCCCGACATTGCAGTCACCTGCGATACGAAATCCTGGGGACTTGGAGTGCTGGTGGATGTGCTCGAGAGGCCATCAACGAGGGCCCTGATTGCCGCTCTCGATATCAACACTTGTGAGGCAGCTGAGAGGCTGGCGCATCTCTGGAACAAGCCGCTAGTCACCTGGACCTGTCCAGCGGTAACAGATCAATAATTCATGCATGTCTAATTCCCCAAGACTCCCATCAAGAGCCCAAGTTACGTGTAGATGTCCAGGAGGGCTCGAATATCTCGCGATCGATTCAAATTAGATGAATTGGATAGGATACATACAGGATATTCCCGGGAATTTCAGGCAGGCGGAGCCGGAAATTCTCCGCAATTCATCGAATAACGGGTACGAAATAATTTTACGGAAGAACCCAGCGAATTCGCTGTTGATCTGTTGAAATTATTTATCCTCTTCAGGCCATAACGTTTTCCCTGCCTTTTAGAATTTTTTTTTTACTTCCGAGGGCTCTCAATTGAAATTTATTGTTTTGATTGAAAATTCGAGGGAATTGTTCAAAAATTTGGAATTCCTTTGAAATTCCAGTGAAATGTTAAATTTCAAGGCTTCACGTACGAAAAAAATTAATAGAAAAACCTCGCGAATTCGCTAGAAAATTCAATTGGATTTTTACTGAGCTTTTTGTTAATTTAATTGGAAAATGGAAGAGGAAAGGACGCCACTAAATTTGGGACGTGTGAGGCTCCGAGTGACCGCCGTAAAAACGTAATTACGATAACGAAGCAATCAAATGTCTTCTTCCGGGGTTCCGGAAAGAGGAGACAATAAATAACCATATTAACGATGCGAAATAATGACATAGTTTTTCCCGGATTCGAATGCTGAAACGGTTTTGCGATGATAAAATTTCCGCTGAGAAATAAAACAAGTGATCTTTAAAACGGAGGATTCTTCGAAACTTGTTTTTACGACTGCAGAACATTAAAATATTTTGTAATGAAATGAGAGTTAACATTTCAAAGTTTCCGAAAAGATGAAGTCTGGAACATTTTCTCTAAAATAATTTCTATTAGACATTTTCTATTAAAAACGTGCAGTGAAGCTGCAGAATTCTTCAATAGAATCGGCGAAAAACTAATAGAATTTCCAATGGAAGTGCAATAGACATCCAATCGAATTTTCCACAGAATTCCCTAGATTTTTCTATGGAATTCGTTTGCGCGTGTTTTTTTTTACCGACCAGTCGACTTCAATTTCCCTCTTCTGAAAATTAATAGTCGACTGCCCATAAAATTCCAACTGGTTTATAACAATACAGATCCTCTTTCTCTGCGAATGATAGTCACCCAGAGATTCTGCTGTAAAATACGTACCATCAATACCGAGTGAACGAGAGTTTCCGCCTATCAATCACTCTTACTCCAGCAGAAAAAAATTAACGGAACAACATTCAAGAATGAACAGAAACATGAGGGGCTAAGTGAATGGGAACCCCATCTCCCTCTCCTCAATGTCCACTAGTTAACTCATGCTTTCATTTATTTTTCTCATTGTCTCATACGCTTACGCAATCTCCGTCCACGTATTATTTCTGAATTCACGTAAAATTCACGAAAAAATTTCATCGAAAATCCAGGGAAATGGCTAGAAATATCTATTGAACTTTTTATTAGTTTTCCGATTCTATTGGAATATTTTCTATGGAAATCACTCGGCTGAAATTTTCCAAGACTTTTTGTTTAATTTTTTTAATGAAAATAAAAAAATTTAAGAAAGTTAATTTTAAGAAATTTCTATAAAAAAATTCTCAATAGAAAAAATTGTATAGACAGATGAAATTCTACAGATTCTTCCTATAAAATAATTTTATTGGACATTATCTCCTTCAATTCTTCAATAGAATTCGCCAAAAATGAAAAAAGTTTTCATTAGAAGTTCAACAGAAATCCAATAGATTTTTTTCAATTCGCTAGATTTTTCTATGAAATTTTCTCATGCGTGTTATTACGACCGCGAGAAATAGGCAATTGACGGAGTTTAACTCCGGTGATGAAACATTTACGATATTTTTATTACAATGTCCGTAAACATTCTCAGAGACGTTATATCGTCTGCGATGAGAGAGACCTAAGCAGTTTGTCGAGGTGAAGGGTGGGGGGGAAACAGTCAAAGGGAGAAAATAGGACTACTTACCAAAGCCGGGACAATTTATCGAATCTAGGCGCCTCTGTATATTGTATCCAAGTTTCGGCCACCGTGCGTATACAGTCGACCTAGTTTGCCTCCTGTTGTCGAACTAAAAGCCAGAAAAAAGAAGGGGAGGGTAGGAGAAAAGGGCCACTATATTCACCCTGCAAAATGGAAAATTCTTCTTTCTTTTTATTCACTTTTCTCTCCGCCGTTCTCATACAGTCTCTCCTGTCTTCGATGGGGACTCGGAGTTAAACATCCATCTTCATCTTTTTAAAAATCCAATTGACTTTTCAAAATTTATCGCCTACATTTTTCTTTTTTGAATTGTCTTTGAGCATGAAAATATGACGTGTGAAATTAACTGCTAACATTCAACCAATTGATGAATTATTATCAATCAATTCTATTTGAAAATAGTTCTTTTTTCATTTCGTTTGAATGTTTTTTCTATCAATAAAAAATCTAGAATTTTTTTTTGCCAGAATTAAAATCTTCATTAAATCTCTCAACGTATCAGATTTTCTTTACAATTTTTTTGACAATTCAAAAGTTTTTCTTGCTGTGCAATCAGTGAGAAGCCATACTTTAATCAGAGAATCAATCTGTCGTCCGGGCGGCGCGGTTTTCCCCAGATTGCCTTTTCTACTTAACTTCATATCAGCCTTCCTCTCGTTTTCCACTTTTCCATATTCCCCACTCCCCCGTTCCCGGGGAAATTAGCAGTCTGTAGGTGGTAAACTGAAGAGATGATTCATCTAAAATTAACGTCGCTCTGGTGGGTTGAAACTTGAAAAAAAAGCGAGGAGCGATAGCGGTATCATAACGTGGGGCTGGCATTTTAAATACTCGCGCAGTATTTTTAATGCAGGTCGAAATAAAAATTTATACTAGAGGGAGAAGCGGCTGAAAGAGAGAAGCAAAGCTGCAGGGGGGAAAAAAGTTGAGCAATAATACAAAAAAAATCAAGTAATCGTGGAGCGACATTCAGTTCTAGGCCTTTTTGAGACTATATCGAGATGAAAAATGCGAAACGAATGGTGAATTGTCCTCCGCTTGCTCCGAAAATTGACTGAACGTCAGGGTAATTTGTCCCGAAGTTGTGAAATGTATCCGGAATTTCATGAAAAATGACAGCGAGCGTGAATGATTACTCAATGTCTAGAAATTATTCTGCAATAAAATAAAATTTAGAGAGATTTCCCAGATAATTTATTTCCAATTTTTCTCTCCGTGCGGCTATTTTATTCTTTATTTTTTCACGTCGCGTCGCTTTAATATGCACTGGAAGAAATCTATACCGAGTTTTCAAAGCGAAATTCTTCGTTCAAAGGCGCAATTCCTTGAATGAAGATTAAGGGCAAACGTCTTTGATTGGAGGATTAAGGAAGACATGAACATCATATCGATGCTGTGAACGTCGTCCTTGTGTGTCGATCTGCTATTGCCACATAAGCTCCCTCACCTTTGATTCGGAGGGGGAATTGGGGCTTATTTTGCACGTTTTTACGATGTTTTTTCATTTTAAGGAAACATTAGGTAAAATGAAATTAATGTGATAAAAATGCGATAATTGAATTGGAATCCTAGAATCCCTGGAATTCCCGGAATAACATCATCAGAATTCTTAATGTTTCGAATTTGGAATCAATTTAAAGCAAAATCCCCCAGTAAATTTCTCATTCACGTAAACCAATTAATTGAATATTTTCCATTGCACATTTTCATTGAAAAAAAAATACCCCAGCGAATTTCCTAATTTTATCTACGAAACATTGTCGTCCCCATAAATCCAGAAACTAATTATTCCAGAAAATTGGAGATAATCAGCCGACATCAACCATAAGACTGAGCCCATCCCTTCCGGTTGTGGCGCAAGCATTGGCTGAGATATTTTTACATTTCAAATGGAGATCAGCGTCTCTAATAGCAATGGGTAACCGTATAAATCAATAATAGCACGATAAACTCATTACCCCCTTGATGAAATAACCAATGACTTGGCATTAACCGAAGACGAGGAGCCCTGGTCAAGTTTAGCGAGAGCAGTGATAGGCGTTTTGCGGAGTATCGGAATAATTCCACGGCATCACGCGCTCATTTCACGGCAAACTACCGCCCCCCAGATTCATCAATCACTAGCCTCGTTCGAGACCATTATCCCACGAGGTAACGTATTATTAATAAATCCCATCATTATTCAGTGCATCAAATGCCTCCCGCGAAGCTTCCACGAGTATTACCATAATTCATTGATTCACCCCTGGAAAAAAAAAACAGTTATTGTCCTCTGCCTACCGCTGGAGGATGAGAAATTAATCAGCCGGGTCATGAGGGAATCCGAGGCGCTACGTACATCACGAACTGACAACTCGGTTTTTCTCCTTGTTCATCCCGAGGGGCCGGAATTCTTCCTGCCAACTACTGGAACTTTATCCGATAATTCGACGAGTACGACAGCAACGTCAACGACCAATGCTGGCGCCGCTGTGGGTAAACGCCAGGGGAAAAGATTCCACGGACGAATGAAAAATTTACTAGCTTTTGCACCTTTCGACAGGAGGTTACAATCATTTTGTGTTTATGGGTCGAGGGAAGATAATATTTCTGTCCCTTGAGAATACATTGTAATGTACGGTAGAATGGTCGAGGAATATGGACTCAATCTCAACAATTAGAGATACTTTAGTTTATTAATTTCACACTAAAGAGTAACGGCTTACTTCGATACAAAAGAATAAAATGAGTTAAAATGTACTCAATAATGAACTATTGGCACACTTGCCTCGATTCGTCTTTGTATTCGTATTACAAAACGGTCTCATGCTGTAATACAATGCTGACTCCTAATTTCTTCATAATTGCATTATTCCATAATATGAATACAATAATCTGGGAGACAACATTATTTATTAAATGACATTCTTCTGTGCGAGGCTGTCGCACATGATTCTCTAAACAAAATACAGGGTAGTTATCATCGAATACTCGACAAAAATGAAATTAAAAAAAAAAGGAAAAGAATAATTGACCTTCATTCAGCACAGTAAAGCCCTCAAATAAATTCTCCCCAGTGCTCTCTCTCTCTCTCGGTAGAAATATTGTCTTTTCCTCTGATTTTTCATTCACACATGCATTGTCAAAATTTTCCATCCGAATAGATACAATCTAGATGCTATTTACAATGGCACTCAACTGTACAAAGAGCCCAGCACTGTCGACCGATTGAACGAGTCACTGAGCATTTTGACGCACGATAATTCAAGTTTAAATACCAACAATAACAAAATGTTCATTTACGGTCTACTCGGCTGGCGTTCATCGGGAAATGCCGATGGTATCTGGTATCCCATAGCCCAAGTGATTGAAAGCAGAGAGTATTTGGTGGTACGAGAACTAGCGGAGAGCGATCTTGTTGATGAAGAGACACTTGACCCAGTACTGTGTTCCAATAAAAACGATTGCAAGGGTGAGTGGCTCTCTCAATATCAGCAATCGTCGTTTGTGAATGCATTTTTACTTGCTAATGTGTGTATTAAAAATATTCATGAATAAGCGTTCACTAATCCCCATCAGGTGATAATCGAGGAAATGGGGACGATCAGCTCGCAATGAGGACATCTCACATTGTTGTTATCATTTTGATGTGTTTGTTACTGACATTTGTGTTGTTTATTGTAACGATATTGGTGCGAAGGCACTTGGTGAATAAGAGAGTGTCGAAGGGACCGTTCAAAATTATTCTCACCGCCTCCGATTTCGTTTTTCCTCAGCCGACTGATAATAGAAGGGTGAGCATTTTGGTGAGGGAAGACAATTCGGTATAGAATGAACAATGAATGAATGAGAAGAAATAAAATCTTTAATTTGATTTCTCTTCATTCACTCGTGCATTAAAATAATTATTTTAAACAGTAAAAATTTTGATTAATCCTCAAATTAATGGTAAAATAGGTAGACGAGGGGATTGAAACAATGCTATGTTGTTGGCTGAAACAACTCCAGGAATTTGGTGGGCCTGAGGTTGAAAAGCCGGATCTACTGCAGGGCAGCGTTGGATCGCTCAAGCCCCATTTGAAGGCAAGCACTGGTAGTCTAGCATGGCATACCATTCTCAAGGATCCTCGGGCGAGATACAACGTAAGATTGCCTGAGTGATTCAAAAGGGTCTCCCAATACATCCCCTCGTCCGTTAAATTTTTTTCGTTATCTGCGCCTTTACGTACCCAGTCCTAATGCAACTTTATCCAGTTTGTCTCCCTCATTCCGCCGGGATAAATCCTATTTATGTGATCCTCTATTTTTTTTTTCTTCAGGGAGACTTGGTACAACTCAAAGAGCTACCGTGCCAAGCTAACAACTTTGAGCTCAAGAGTAAAGCCATGGACGTCTTGATCATGGTGAGAGATCTTGAGGATTACCTCTGCCTTTTCTGCCGTCAGTGTGATCCCCTCTTTCCACTTATTTCGCAAAATTTCAGATACATGGACTACGCCATGAGAATTTAAATCCTTTCATTGGCTGTTTGACGGAGCCAGCTAGACCCTGTTTAGTGTCGGAATACTGTACTCGAGGATCGCTCGAGGACGTTCTCATGCAGGACGAGATAAAGCTCGACTGGTCATTCAGACTATCGTTACTGACCGATCTTGTGCGGGTGAGTGGGCAATCAAATTCATTCTGACAAAAGCATTAAATTTACTCTCCACGTAGGGAATGAAGTACTTGCATAGCAGTCCAATTCGTGTACACGGCTTTCTCACATCTCGAAATTGTGTCATTGACGCCAGATGGGTGCTCAAAGTAGCTGATTACGGATTGCCAGCGTTTTATGAAGCTCAGAGCATTGTCACACCGACGAAGAATGCCAGAGGTACGTAATGAATAGGAAAAAAAGAAGAAGAAGACAATATTATTAATTTTTCTCAGTACACGACACAACATATATTTTTATTTAAACGTGTGAAAAACTGTTTCACACGAAAAATATCCCTATGATTACACCGTCTCATTTCCAGTTGTAATAAACATCGAGTGAATGAATGTTCATTCAACAGAGATTTCCCATTTCACTCCCACCTCCGGAACAATATCTCCCGAATTATTTGATTTACTAGAATAATTGGCACCGCAAAAATTCACCCTCAACGCGAAGAGTAATAAAAAGTTGGGAAGAAACATGTCATGAGATTCCAACAACAATAATACCCGTCCAGACCCATTGTTAAGATCCTGCAATTTTTTTTGAAGCAGTTGATGCGTCCATAACACCCCCGAATACAAAAAATAAGCATCACGAGGGAAAAAGTCGTTATGCCCATGTTCACTTGGATGAGCATTTCGTTGTGTATGTTGAAGATTTACTGTGGACGGCGCCGGAATTATTGAGACACTCGGGCCTACGTAAGAGAGGCACCCAACCGGGTGACGTTTACAGCTTTGGCATTATAATGCAGGAAGTTGTTGTACGAGGCGAGCCATTCTGCATGTTGGCACTATCACCCGAAGGTCAGTCACTAACTCCCATTTACTTATCACACGTACAACCCCCTTTAATCACATAATACCTGGCTGTATCAAAGCAATATCCGATATTGCCAGAGATTGTCTATCGATTCTTTGATACTATAATTACATCAAGACTTTCTCTCCCTCTATTTTATACGTATAATGCCTGCGGTACGACGTGCTCATGCTCCGATTAACGCATGGCCCCCTAGTGCGCCAACACGGGTGATATCTTTTTTTAAACATCCCTTGGGGCAGAATTAATGAATTCAAACTTTTTTGCCCCATTTTACCGACACTGGAGCCCTTTTCCGTAGAGTGGAGTTAATGTTTTTTTTTTTTTTTCAACTTTCCTGAACGTGACAGATATTATTGCAAAGGTCAAGAAACCACCACCGCTTATACGACCCTCTGTCAGTAAGGGCGCTGCACCCCCCGAAGCTATTAACATCATGCGCCAGTGTTGGGCCGAGGCCGCTGACATGAGACCTGACTTCAACGCCGTTCATGATTTGTTTAAAAAATTAAATCACGGTAGAAAGGTGAACTTTGTGGACACCATGTTCCAAATGCTTGAGAAGTATTCTAATAACTTGGAGGAGCTTATTCGCGAGAGGACGGAGCAGTTGGACATGGAGAAGAAGAAAACTGAGCAGCTTTTAAATCGGATGCTACCGAGGTAGAATATCACTGACTTCAATTGTGAAATGGTGAAATGAGATTTCAGGACATCTCGGTATCCAAGGGAGACTTTGAAATTTTTATGAGGACCTTTTCTGTTGGGGAAAAGGTATTTCAGTGTCTCCTTTGGGCTCCATTTGAATCGTTTTGGTTACACCTTTGTATTATTGGAACATTTCAATTACATATTTCAATGAGTTTCTTTTATTCGTAAAATGAAAGGGGGCTGTCGGAAAATTCAAGACTTAGAAATTGTTCTCAGTTCCTTCCAATATTATTGAACTGTAATATTGAAAGGTGTACGCATCGTTTCCCAGCTTTCCACCAATTTCCTCTGAATTTCGAGAATAATTTGTTCTCCCTCGCAGCACCGTAGCGGAGAAATTGAAGCTAGGAATGCCAGTGGACCCCGAGGAATTTGCCGAAGTGACAATATACTTCTCGGATATCGTTGGATTCACAGCAATTTCAGCTCACTCAACCCCCTTCCAAGTTGTTGATTTACTGAACGATCTGTACACCTGTTTCGATGATACGATAAATGCTTATACCGTGTACAAGGTTGAGACAATAGGTGACGCTTATATGGTTGTTGGTGGATGTCCCGTTAGAATTCAGGACCATGCATCACAGATAGCGACAATGGCACTCGATTTATTGCACCAGAGTGGCAAATTTAAGGTCCGACATCTGCCGAAAACCCAGCTGAGGCTGAGAATTGGTCTTCACACTGGTGAGAATCTTCAGTTCGTTGGCCTTTCAATTTACAAAACATCTTGATCGATGAACTCGATCGACTTTTTCCTCGTTACATTGTTTACCAACTGCTCTATCAATATTTTCTCAGGTCCCTGCTGTGCCGGGGTCGTAGGTCTGACAATGCCTCGTTACTGTTTGTTCGGTGATACTGTAAACACAGCATCGAGAATGGAATCGACGGGTGCACCGTGGCGAATTCATTTGAGCCAAGCCACTCGTGATAGACTGTGCCAAGTTGGTGGTTATCACATTGAGTATCGAGGATGTACTGATGTTAAAGGTAAGGGCAAAATGCCCACATACTGGTTACTCGGTAAACAGGGCTTCGATAAACCATTGCCAACACCACCGCCACTTGGGTGAGTAGCAATACTAACGTTGGACCTTGTCCGACTGCTTTTCAATATTAACGAGTGTTTTACGTCTTGCTGCCATTTCCAGGAATGATCATGGGTAAATATTCCATAAATTTTCAGTATTTGTAGTGATGACAGTGAAATTACCACGCATTTGTCATTCTCAAAAATTCGGTGGCGATCCCTAAATGTGAATATTAAGAGAGGAAAATTTGCATGCCTCCACTGTTGCGCAACCTCTAAATATTTTGTTCACCTGTCATTCCCTCACAAAGTTACGTGACCCATTACCCCTTCATTACCGAAATTCATCGGCTGATGAAACACGTTTACGTGTTGTAGATTGGAAGAGAGCTTAGGGATAAAATTAGAGGGTGACAATTCCCCGGGTTCCGAGGACCCCTCGAGGGCCTCTCCAATCGAGACCCCAACGATTCTCCGTGAGCCCACGATCGATGAACTTATCATACCCTCGATTAAAGACGACGATGACAATAGTTCCGGGCAAAGTAGTTCCTCCTTCACAACAACATGCACAAGCTCAAAATTCTCAGCTGCACAGTCGTTGCAGGAGCGGGCTACAACTAGAAAAGTTGCTGTATCAGTGCACGATGACAAAGAGCTGAATTTTCCGGCTTCGGCGTCCGACGTTGCAGCCGCCCTTTTGGGTGCAGCGTCCACAACCTCATTAAGCTCAATATCGAGTTCAGCATTTCGCGGCACAAGCGGCAGACATCGCCGAGTTGGGCACATTGATGAAGACGATCTCAGTACGCCTTACAACCATTACAGGTGTCTTTCGCCGAATGAGCATTACAATAAAGGCACGAGTCGCTTGCTCAAGAGACAGTTCAGTCTCGATCGGGCTGACGAGCCAGTATCAATAATATCGGAGTGCTCTATGTCATCCACTGGAATCTCTCGTCCACTACCGAGGTTGTACAAGCAAAACAGCGCGGGCGCTGCTAATGATCTGGAGAAGATTGAAGAAGTACCCAGTACACCGGCTACGCATCAAACTTATCGACATGCTGCCTCCATGTCACTTTCCGTTGAGTCATTGACACTTCGTTAAACAATGCCAATATTTCGATAAGTGGCGAGAAGTCGTCGAGATGTGAGGAACAATGTCGGGAATTTCATAGCGAATGATGTGAATCCTTACTCGTGGCTCTGGGGCGCTTAATTCTCGAGATTGTTACATTTGATTAACACTCCGTTGGTCGCGCAATAGTCGTTTCTTTAATTTTTAAAGATTTTTGGGAACGTCAGTGATACGAGACAGCATAGGGTACATTGTTAACTTACGGCCATTTTAATTGGCTTCAGGAAAACGGTTTTGGGGTAGGAATAACTATGTTATTGGGAACAGCAAGTGAAATCGACGTGATAATAAATTTGAAATATGTAGGGAAAATCTGAAAAAAATCAACAGCGATCTAGATCGTATGCTAGAGAAAGTTTCGTGGGGTTTTGAATCCTCAGTGTTATGCTTCATTCCATATCCAAGCTCAAAGTTAACATGTTTTCGGAAAATTGTCTTATACATGGGCTGGAGTTTCCGCAGGCAAATTTCAAAGTCTCACTACTTATCATATTTTGGCTGAAATTTTCATCGACAAGGTTTCCATTCACTTCAAAATGAGATGTCAATTTTTTTTCAATTCTCTCCGAGGTTTGACTGCAGTGTATCATTTTAAAAAATGGAAAAAATGAGGCCTGACGCTCACAGCGCTACCAACGGAATGTTAAATTCCCTTCGTCCCTTTTTCGGTTGTGCAGGAAAATGAGAGTTCGGGTGGGGGAGTGGGGACGCCCTACGTGCACTGCGCCGGGGCGGAGTGGGGCAAAGCCCTAGCACTAGAAACTCGAATGAAAAATCATCTCATTCGTTATAAAATTCTCTGGATTTTTTTTCGCGGGATTAATCCATCAGATAATTTTAAAGGGTTAAACTCCAACCAGAGCCGAATATATCACTTTGCCACTTGCCAAACTACCTCCTCACAAGGCATCATGTTTTTTCAGAGACATGGATCGTTACATGTCTTCCACGTACCTCCCATAGATCTATCATATTAATGTCGTTGCACGAGTGGAATTTACTGAATAAATTCCATGTATATCGCGTTATGGAGTTGATAGAACTCGCCGGAGTGTCACTGCTGGTCAGTATTGAATGAGTATTAAATATTAGGATTGAAAATGGTTATTTTGTTTGGCTCGTTATAATAAATCCGTCGATTTGTGAATGGGGGTAATTAAAAATACCCCTGAAACCTACTTTGTACGATCCTTTTATCAGCATTGCGGTTTTGTAAATAGTACTTTTCTATCGGCCTAAACGTTCCTTCATCGAGTCCCCTTTCAATGTTCGAAATATTGAGTGAGAAAAAAATTAATTGAGTATTTAATCATTGGAGGACTTTGATTTTCGAAATTTCTGGGGTAAATTCGTCTCGAAATGTGTCAGTAGTATTTTTTCCTTTTTCAGTATCTGACTGAGCCATAATTAATAGCTTTAAGGATGTAAGAATTAATTAAAAGCCTGAATATTTACACATTGCCTCTTGAAACATCACTCACTCTTTCGTTCACGGCGAATGTTATCAGAACTTTGTAATTAATTCAATAATCCTGATACTGATACAGTGAAGAAATATATATTGTGTACACGTAGTTGAAGTTTGACTAATCGTATTCAGTGTCACACACTGTGTGACTGTAATTATCGAGGAATTTTTTGGATGACAATCGAAACTAATAATTTCACGAGAAAGGGAAGTATAACGAAAAAAATAATCAAATGTGTGACGATAATTGGTGGATCGATGCCACCGTCATGGTTAATTATAACGTGAGATTTTTAAATATTTACATGTTGTTGAACGGTTCGTATTATAGGTACCTGTGTATTATACGTAAATGTACGGATTTTGTTTATTCATCGTTTCACCTCATGAGTTTTATCGGATTTTATTGATGAATTGTTTTGGCATTTTATGGAACTGTGAAAATCCAGTCAATTATTCGCGGATTCTCATCAAATGAGTTTTGATTTTTGCTGACGTGTGAAACATTTTGATGAGAAGAACCTAGAGCTCTGTTTACGGAATTCCATTGAATTTCTGGTGAAGTTCTGTTGAATTTCTAGTGAATAATTGTATTGATTTTTTGCGCTGATTTTTTGCGTCATTTTTCACGAAATGTTTGATAGAAAAAATGCCAGGAGAATGAGTTGTATAGAAAAATCAACATCTGTGGACTTTTTCCTGTGAAAAAGTGTCAAAAAATAAGCGTAAAAAATAGAATTTATTCTTTAATCCTAGATTTTCTATTAAATGTTTTCATACGTATCATGTCATCCGATATTTTTAATTGAGCAATTATGGAAATGAGTTCAAAAGTTAATTAAAGGTAATATTATCAATACGACGAGGTCAAAACTAATGAGGAATCATGATCAATAATTATATAAGACTAAAGTGAGCTTGTTAATCTTGTAGTATCATGAAATCAGTCTCTGCCCTTTATGTTGGAGTCATCGATTTTTCAGCTGTCCCATATACTTACAGACACGTGAAAAAATCCAATGGGAAATCATAGGGCATTCGCTAAAGATGAGGATTTTTTTTTCTTTCTTCGATAAAAAAAGTGCAAAAAATTATCTCACTAATAAAATCAATATTCAATTTTTTGTCTGTAAAAATTTATCGGCATAAATTCTTCGAGGTTTTTACACTAAAATTTTTTTTCTCATTGAAGAATATGAGAAAGGAGAATTTATAGGTAAATATCTGTGGGGAAAATCTCAGCAGTTCGATGAAAAAATTTGAATTTAGTGACGTAATATTTATCGAGAATTGATGAAATTTAGGATTGACAAATTTCCCAGAATGTTCTATTGGATTTCCGGATACGCGTGACAGTATACTCGGTTTTATAACCCGTCTGTGTTACTAGCATATTTTCGGGCAAATCTTTGTGCCGATAAATGTTTAATGTTAACGAAAATAAACAAAAAAATCGAAAAAAAATACTGTAGTGGAACATAGCAATGATAGCGGTGTTTATTGGAAAGTTGAGATGGATCCTTCTCTTCGGGACGATCTAGAAATATGTCCCATTAAATTTAGCATTTACAATAACGGTTAAGTGAAATTTATTAACATGTTAAGAGTGCTATTGAGGTAAAAATTAAAAAAATTATCTTATATTATTCTGCTCTTGTCTGTTTCCACCGCCTTTCTCCACTCACCGCCTGCAGAGGGGAATCCCCTGATTTTCTGTTCATTTCAAGGGGCTTTGAAGATGGCGGTGCCCCCGCCTCGTATTTTTAAACATTTTTTAAAATTATTTATCATCCTCAAATCACTCTCAACACGCTTCATCCGGTTTTTATAAAGTGAACAATTTTTTTAAGCCATTTTTCAGGTTTTTTCATCCCCATCTGGCCGAGAATTCGCGACGCAAAGTGTTTCAAGGATTTCACTGATTGTTTTCTACTCCTGAGGCTCTTGAAGACGGTCCATTTTACCCCACTCTTTCCTACTCACCGTTCGTCACTGAAACGTCTTCTCAGTACTCATGCATAGGTTGACGCTCCCACTTACGCAGCTGTTCCCAAGAAATGAGGCAAGTGTCGTCTTCACTCACGCAATATTTCATTCTCGTCTCATAACCAATTCCATCCTCCTCTGGACTCATTCGCACCTAGACGCGCGAAATAAAGCGCCTAAATTTCTCGACACCGATAATTATCGAGTGGACACATCGAGGCGAAAAAATAAATAACACATTTCGCAGAACAGAATGTACAAAAAAGATCTTTTATTTAATGAAAATCAACAGTTTGAGTTAAGAAAAATAACAAACAAGGGATGACATAAGGTCATTAACGACAGCTTCACCAGGCCCTGAAAACAGAAGTGAAATTTAATCTGTTGGGTAATGGGACGATTGAGTAAAGAGTGAGATGTACGAAGAAATTTTACAGAAAAACCGAGCGCATTGGCGAGAAAATTCTGTTGGATTTCTATTACACTTTTTATTTAAAAAAAACGTGCAGTAGAGCGGCGAATTTTTCAAGAGAATTTTCTATAGAATTTGCTGGGTTTTTCAACGAAATTTTTTCGTCCGGAAAAATCAGCGGTACCCATAAGTGGACGATGGTTCTGGTGGCCCCCAGGGCTGGTGATCGTAGTCGATAGGTGGAGACTTGAAGACCGGTTTTTCGATGATTCTCTCGACGTACACTGGCTTCTCCACGTACTCCACGTACCGCACTGGTGGTGGAGGTGGTGACAAATAGACGTGGTGAACTTCCGGGGAGTGGTGGTAACCGAGTTTGTAACTGAAGATATCAAAATAAATGATTGACAACGGAAGAAGAAGTTAAAAGAGAGAAGAATAAAAAATGAGTACAAGAACAAAAAATGTTTCAAGAAAAAAAAAATTTTTTTTCTTCCACCAAACATTTTATCTGAAGGGATAGTGTGAAAAAATCTCGAAGGAAAAAGAATCACGATAAAAAATTTACCCTTTGGCAACACCGAGCCCCAGCCCCAGCAATCCAGCCCCGAGTATCTTCTTCTTGAGGAGTAGAGTCCGTTTACTCCTCGTGTGAACATCCCCGGCATCATTCAACTGTGAAACTCCACCGCCAAAAGACCCCTCCAACCCCCTCTCCTCCGGGGTCTGTGCCAACGCTCCGATGAAGCACATGCAAGCTATCGCAGCAATTGTCCAGCCATTCATCTGGTAATTTAATGGTTTTCCAAAATTAACGAAGGTATTTGGAAATTTTACGTTATTACACAGTCGTTCATTCAGGACGAATATTATAATACAAGCGGGTTGCCCTTGTGAATCGGATTATTTGAAATTAGATCATATTTTATGGGAATGCAATCTGTGGTGCTCAGATGGACAAGAAATGTCTCCAGAGAATAATCAATAATTTTTTAGTCAAAAATAATGTTAAAATCTGGGGATTTAAACAGGGATGGCCATCAATCTTGCGATTCTTCAATATTCAAAAAAATTACGATTTGCGTAACCTGATTAAGGATTATATATACTAATCCTTAATCAACTAAATATACGAAATTTGAAAATAGCAAAATAATTGATAATCTAAATTTCCAATCGATGATGAATTAAATATTTAATAATATGGAACTATAAATTTTCTATTAAGAAAAAACTAAATTTGTTATAGGGAATTTTCGGTTATTAATTATTTATTAATAAACAATTCGGAATTAGAATAGATGATATTAAATTGACGATTACTTCAATTATTAAAATTTAAGAGTGATATTAACGAATTGACTACTTAATAATTTAACGGTAATTATAATTTATGAATATGGCTATTCCTGGATTTAACTATTTTTATTATTTATTCTTCATCTGCGTTGATGGGAACCAAGCGAGAAGAAATGTCAGGAATTGAAGCTGTCACTTCAAACATTGGACAGACGACACAGCGCGCATTATTCAGAGAAGAAACCGGCACTTGCTCTGCTCTTGAATGAGAGGGCGACATATCAAATCGAAGAAATAGAATAGAATAGACTTGATCTGATAAAAATCCGAAAACCCCGGGATTATCCATCGATGAATCCGGAGAAAGCTGGCACTCGACAGAGTAAGGAAATCGATTTAACCAGAGTGAGTACAAGTTTCCATTTTCTTGTGCACACATCTGGGTAAAAGTGGATGAACTAGCCGCGAAGACGAGTTTCCTTTCGGGAAGTTGATTCTCATAGGTTTCGGGTAACCGGATATACATAGTTCCGGGCTTCCGGCGTGTCGTAATGTTGCCGAGAAAAACAAGGGAGAATGGGAAAACTAACGAGGTTTGATAAACCGATGACAGCCCTGTTCCCTTCTGACTCTGCGATGATTGGAAAATATTGACAATATTGACGAGCGATAAGAGAAATTGTGACGTTAGACCGGAGAGTAGACCTTGAGAATAAGTTTCACTGTTTATCTCGTGAGTAGATCATTTTTATTCAGAAAATGCAGCAGAGAGAAATGATTTATTCAAATTGAATGAACTTTATTTGAGTCAAATCAATGGGTTTATCTAAATAGACATTTTATTCAAGCTCAAACTCCATTTCTATTTGCGTTTTTATTCATATCAAATGAATGGATCGAACGTATTGTTGGAATGAATAGAAAAATTAAAAATGAAGGGTTTATTGCATTCTTATTCAAATTGAATAAATTGTCTTCTCAATGCAAATAAATGTTCAATAATTCTTCATTTGTTAAAAGAAAAAAAAATTGAACGAAAAAATTTGGAAAAAAAATTGTTTTCACTGGAAGTGAAATGTGAAATTGCCGGCAATTTCGCATCCCTAGTTTCATCGCGTTGAGCAGTCTTACCTTGATAATCACAATCTGATTCCAGTCAATCGGTAAATAACACCCTGCACTTGCACTTGTCACTGACTGCTTCTGGTCTATCGAGTTTACCGGGCGTTCGATTTTATATACCCTGATTTTCTAGGCACCGTATCCCTACCCACAACAGCTTTTACCTCGACAAAATTTCGTCGGATTTCAACGGGGCCGCGATAATCCCCACAGAAAACGTGGATTATATTGCGACAATCCGATACATTTCGATTATGATTCCGCGTTGCCCTCGAACACGTGCTTGTGGCGCACAATGAGGTGATACAAGAGGCAGTGAATTCATTCATTGATTATGTCAGTGATGATTTTCTCTATTATTTCGTGAAAAATTTCACTCTGAAATGCCGTATCAGATCGGGGGGGAAAGTGCTGGAATTTACCCCTGAATTTTAGTTGAAATTACACAAAAATTGTGATTTTCGCCCAAATATTATCATTTTTTAATTAATTTTCTCTGGTAAAAATTGAATCAATCGATTTATTCATTTATTAATTATTTATTCATTGAAAAAAATTAATAAGTAGATGGATACAATACTGTGAATACTATAAACACAATAATTAGAGTGGAAATTTCAATAGTTTGAGTAAATTTTTCTCAATGAAATGACTTTCATTAGAACTTTCGCATTTTTCTATAAGAACTTTAATAGAAATACAATCAATCTATTTATTTACTAATTTTTTCATTCAATTATTTATTTGTTTGAAAAAATGAATAAATAAATTGTGAAATTGAGAAGAAATTGTGCATTTTTTAAAATTTCTTTTTATGAATGCAAAAATTCTAGTGGAAATTTCAACATCTTGAGTACAATTTTCCAAAAAAATTGTAGTTTTTTCATTTATGCATTTTTTTTTACTGGAATTCTGGTAAAAATCCCTGAAAGAAGTGATGCGTTTTGATGCGGAATATCATCCGCAATAAATGAGGAAGAAAAAAATGTACATTCCAAGTTCGTTGAAGTCAGCTTGTCTGTTGCGACAGTCACGTAGATTATTTGTGTGCACGCACTCTCCATATTGAGCGGATTTTAATAATTCCTGGGCATCCAAGTTTCCCCTGTGTTGAACACTGTCTTTCTATTGTGATTCTGTTCACGATTCCGAACAATGTCTACGAGACGGCACGTTAACATGACGGAACTTTTGAAGAAAACGAGTTCATTGATTACCAGGATGACCCAACGGGACACAGGAAAGTGAAAATAGTCTCTGGATTTTTGTCGTGCGTCATTTTTTCAAGTGTTGACGATGAACATTACAATTTGCAATGATTTCTTTATTAAAACATTCGTGAAAAAATTTGGTGGAGAAATCTACCACTTTCCATTGAAAAATTCTATTTTTATGCGCCAATTCTATCAAAAATTTTTCAACGTCTCGAGTTTTCGAATAAATATTTGTTTATAGAAAAATGTTTACAGATGTTGCACGCAAAATTTTCGCACTCAATTTAATCGAAAATCTCAATGTCCCACAGTGTGATAATTTTTATAAAACAGTTCCCACGGTTAAATAATTCCTGAAAAATTATTTAATCACACGATGAAGTAACTTCCCAAAAATAACTTAATCATCAGTCACCGTAATAATTCCGTGTGAATTATTTACCAAAGAATACTAATCCCCAGTGATTTCCTCAAATTCTCTTCACTTACACTCAAACATTATTTTTCTCTCAAAAACGCCCACCGAGAAATCTATTAATCCGAAAATGCGTGTTTTCATAGACATGAGACCATCTGATAAATAATGTCACAATGAAGAGTAAATCAAACATGTTAATTTATTACATCAGGTGCTTGACATTCATTCCACTCGATAATTCAAATAACCGCTAGCGCTCTGCAGTCCAGCCGAGGAATCTCGGGAGCCGGGGATTGAAGGCCCCGACTATTGACTTAAATCTACTTTGGTTCCTAGCTCTCGTCACCACCTGAAAAAAATAACATGCATTCAGAGAAAACGTATTTACGATTTTTTTAATGGATTTTCAAGGAGAGAAATTTGCGTCTCATGAACGCACCCATTGTTCCATCCGGATGAGTAATAGGTGGGACGATTGTATCCGTAGCCAGAACCGTAACCGCTGTGGTAGCTGCTGTAGGCCCCGTGGTGTCCACCGCCGTATCCTCCCTGGTATCCACTGTATCCTCCGGGGTAGCCTCCACCGTACCCTCCGTACCCTCCGTGCCCTCCGTAGCCTCCGTACCCTCCGCGATAGCCTCCACCGTATCCACCATATCCTCCATACCCGCTGTATCAATACAACACGAAGAAACCAGAGTAATAAATAAAATTGCTGGAGGAAAATTGAAATTTCAATTCAGTAGCGAAGCGGTAAAACGGTTTAAGTCGAGTTTTTTCGGAATATTTCCGAATCTAACGGAGATAGCGACATTTTGGTAATTACATTTTTTGCAGCTCTCAATTAGCTCTGCGAAAAAGGTTGTAACAAAAATTTTGCTATCTCCCTTAGATTTCGAGATATCTATTGAAAACTGGCCTATAGTCAAAATTAACTTGAACCGGTTTACCATTTCGCTACTGAATTGCATTTCACACGCGAAAATTCCGCAGCTTCTCTGTGCGTTTTTTCCGATAGAAATGTCCAATGGAAAATATTCTAAAATCGATTTTTCTATAAAAATTTCTGGACTCAAATTTTCCAAGTTTTTTGTTTTTTTTTTTTTTAATGAAGAGAGAGGAAAAATGGCCGAAAATTTCAATTTACATCAACTCTCGTTGAATAAAATAAATGAAGTAAATTAATTATCAAACGAATGTTCATCAAATCTAACTGAAGACTTCGTTAGAACTAGATCAATTGTTGAAACGACGAAGAGACGGAATTTATCAATATGTAATGCTCCTTATTTCGGTAAAATCAATAGTTCGACCCGAATAGAGACGCGAAATCAATTTTCCCACTGAAAAAGTGAAGAGGGCAACACTCACGCTTTGGCTTTGTAAAGGGCAACTCCTACTCCCGCCCCAACTAATCCAGCCCCACCAACGAGGAGAGCTTTCTTAGCGAGGAGAGCTTTCTTAGCGAGGAGAGCACCCCCTCCGAGGAGGACGGCCTTCTTGAGGAGTAATCCACGTTTAGTCCTGGTGAGAACCTCCGTGGAGGGCTCGGCCTCGAGGTCCAGGGGCTCTGCCTGGGCGTACGCCACCACCAGGACACTGCAGAGCAATACTGCGAGGCTCAAGAGCTGCATTTTTACCTGGGGAGTAACTATTCAGTGAGAATTTCAAGTGGTGATTCAATTTTTGAGAAAATTTAATTGAAAAACATTTCATTCAATTATGACACTCTGTGTAATTTCTGTTGGAATTCCATAAGGATTCTAGCGCATGAATTTGAATTAAAGTATTTTTTCCTTGATTTTTTAATAAAAAATAAAAAATACAGCGAAACAAATGGGAAATTTATATTCGATAGAAATAAACTGAAGAGAATAACTCATGTAGAAAAATCAAAATCTATTAATGATTTTTTCAAATAACTATCCAAGAATCACAACGCAGAGGTAATCATAATTTGAATAGAATTCTAATAGAATAGAAATTCAAAAAAAATCGGAGAAAACACTATAAAATTGTTTCACACGTGTTATCTCACCACTGTTACAACACTGTTTTTCAATAGAAAATATTCTACACAAAAATCCGTAAAATTCGATTTTTCTTCACAACCAATTTCATTCAAATATTTTCTATCGAATTTCCTCGACTCAAATTTTTCTAGTTCGCTTCTTCAAATTTTTTAACGAAAAAAGAGGAAATCAAAAGTGGAAAAACGTTGGAAAATTCATGTCGAGGAATTCCCATAGAAAATGCTCAATAAAAAAATAAAAAAAACGCGCAGTGAATGCGGAGTTCTGCAATAGAATCGGCCGAGGAAATTTTTCGTTTCGGAACTGTTAAAAAAAATCCACTAGCCTCCCCTGTATCCTCTTATCTATTAACACTGAACGCAGTGACGGATTACGCAATTTTCACGTTGAATGTAATATTCTCGGACGAGCGAGACGAATACGAACCTCAATGGATGTGCTGAGAAATGACGAATATTGAAATCTGTGGATGACTTTTATAGGATAAGCCTGTACCTGGCTCCCCACCGCGTGAGTAAATTGTGGAAGGGCGGTTTCGGGAGGAGACGCACAAGGCCACCTCTTGGCAAGGTCATCCTGTTGCCGGAGACCGCCGCTGTCTCCCTGTGAATTCCATATTCTCACTCGCAGTGGTCCATTCAGATTTTTTTTTCGCACCGCACATGACTCGGCATTTTACATCCAACCGACCTTGAACTCGGGGGAATCTTTCATGGGGAAACCCTGTGCTATGGTATTTTTACACGAGAGACACCTCCCATTCTCACATTTTTACTAGCCTCCGGATTTGTGGACTTCTGGGTAGTTGTGGTTGTTTCCGAGTGGGAATTCTCCGGGAGCAGGAAAACAAAATGCTAATGACAGCTGCCCATCGGTGGTTATTTTTTATTTGTGCTTGTTGGGGGGAAAAAATCGGATTTATTTGAACGAAAAATTTGACGTCAATTAGGAGGGGAATTAGGAGGAGCCTTTGCGGATACGAGGATTGAGGTAATTCCAGTGACATCGACAGTTTTGTAGTGATAATATTGATTTGGTTTTTCAATCGTCGATTTTTGTTGATTAGATTGAGTAAGGGAATTAGGGAAAATTCATTTTTGATTGACAATATGGATTTTTTCAATTATTTCGAGCTTAATGAATCGGAATTATTCAAACTCGATTTTTCTTTTTGAAGGATATAAATTATATTGGGAGAAATATTTTCTATTCAACATTTCCTATAGGAAAATTTTCTACAAGAATTCCTCGACATGAGTTTCCATTTTTTTTCCACTCAATTTTTTTTCTTTTCATTTAAAAAAATTAAAAAAACGTGGAAAATTTAACCCGAGAAATGTCTATAGGAAATATTTCTAATAGAATTAATAGAGTTCTATAGCGAAAAAAGTTCAAATGATTGCGTAATCCATTTCGGCGAATGGTCGTGACCAAACACGCGTCTGATAGGAGATGGAGTCGAGACTGGCCAGCGATCAGCGACCGAAGAACAAATCCAAGGCGAAAAAACCGGGCGGCACGAGTGAAGAGCGCAAAGCATTGCTGAAGCTTGAGGCTCTCACACGAGAGCGTAAAATGGGCACTCGAAATAACGAACAACTACGGCGTTCCTGGATGAAAATAATGGCCGAAGTTAAGATTCCCACTATGGAAGAAGACATCGAGGTGAGCCGGAACATATTTGAACGTACCCTTGACATTAAGGATTACAGGTGCGTGATTTTTTTTAGTATTACATTTAAAAATGGAAATTTCACGATAAAAGACAGGATTTTTACCAATTTTGGCGATTGACTCTGTGACAAATGGCTCCACGAGAATCACTTAGCAAAAATTATTGAGATGATTTTTTCCTTCAAGAATATACTTCGAAAAAATTTTTAAGACGCCTCGAGAGCAAAAAAAATGACTGAAATCCGGGGAAAATTTTGCGCCAGGAATTCTCAGCCAAGAGGGGATGGAAAAAATTGGAGGATAACTTGAAAAATTTGTTCACTTTTTAGGAACTGGATAAAACGAGTTGAGGATGGTTCGAAGAGAATAAATAATTTTAAGAGATGTTCAAAAATACGAGCTGGTTGGCAGGCCTGGGCGCCATCTTGCTTGGATCCCCTCCCTCTGCTGGACGGGCCCTCAAAGATGGCGGCGCGCCCACTTCGTATTTTTAAACATTTCTCAAAATTATTTATCCTCTTCGTATCACCCTCAACTCGCTTCATCCGGTTTCTAAAAAATGAACAAATTTTTTAAGCCATCGTTCAAATTTATCTACCCCCTTTTGGCTGGGAATTCATGATGCCAAGTTTTTCTCGCATTTCCGTTTTTTTTTTATTCCCGAGGTCTGTTGAGGGGATTTTTTACACGAAGAAAATAATCTATAGAATAATTTGTCAACATTTTCTACTTCTTTGCATTTTCATTTTTTGCCTCGGCGGGTCTTTCCTTCGTTATTTTCTGGAATTATTCAAGTGAAGTTATGAATATCGAATTCCCAGAGCCCATTGCCTCGTGGAAGGTCTAGACGACTCTGAAATTCAATACAAAAGAAATATCGGAGGGCACGTGGGCATAATAAAACGGCTAGAAGACATATACAACGACAGATCAACCTCAGGATATGATAACTACAAACGCCAGCTCGATGGAATGATCCAAGAGAGCGAGACGGATGTCAAGAGGATCATATCCCTGAACGACGAGAGCGAGGGCTTGTTGCAGTCGATAATGAAAAGGGAGGAGAAAATAACCGAAGAGCTTCTGGAGAGCCTTCAAAGCGAGACTGCCTGTACCCCTACATTCCCAAATTCTCCTAGAATTTCATCTCTCTATACAACTTTTTCTATAGCAATTGCTCGACAAGAATTCCCTAATTTTTTCGGTTTTACTTTTCTTGTCTTCATTTAAAAAAATTAGACAAAAAATACGGGAAATTTAGGCCGAGGAATTTCTATAGAAAATATCTCAGAATAAATTAAATAGAATATTCCCTTTTGCACACGTCCAATTAAAAAATGGGCAGATGAGCTGCGGAATTTTTCAATAGCATCGGCCAGCAAACTCTTCCATTATTCTAGATAAACTCGACAATTTACGCGAGGACGGAAGCCACTCGATTAAGATGGCGCTCATCGATATAGAGAACAGGATAAAATTTTACTGGAATTCTGTGAACTCCATAATAACGAATTATTCCAATGGTAAGTTCGAGGATGACGTGTCCCTTCGCATAAACAAATTGCGTAATTTCTGGGTTATTTTTGAGACACGCATGAACGACGAGTGTCTTACGAGGCTCTCAAGGCGAAAGACACCAAGGACCGGGGAATAATAGCGGATCAGTTGGCGGACACTGCGGAGTTGTACGACGCAATTCGAAAATACCAGGAGAAGATAAAGAAACTGGAAGGGAGCAGCGAAGACACTGCATTCAATATTAATATCGAGAGGAAATTGTCGCGAGAGGCTTACTCATCAATGAAGGAGCGCTTTCTCAACGGTGCGACCATGAGTCCCAACTGTCCATCTACATCCAGAGAAACAGCACATTTGAATTGAATAAAACTCTCCATTCAAATTTTTCTATTCATTTCGAGAGCCCTCGGGAGTGGAGAAGGCACTGAAATGCGGGGAAAACTTTGCGCCGCGAATTCTCCGCCGAAAGGGGATAGAAAAATCTGAACGATGGCTTAAAAAAATTGTTCACTTTGAAGGAACAGGATGGAGCGAGTTGAGGGCGATCGGAGGAAGACAAGTAATTTTACGAAACGTTTAAAAATGCGAGGTGGAGGCATCGCCGTCTTTAAAGAGGAAGAGGTATCGAAGCAAGACGGCGTCCGCGCATGTCAATCACCTCGTATTTTTGAAAGTTCCTGGAACTCATTTATCCTCCTAAGATCTCCTATAACTCGTTTCATCCGGTTCCTAGAAAATGAAGGAATTTTTCAAGCCGTCCTTTTATCCCCCGATGTTTAGTATTTCTTCCGGTGTATTCGTTACTTCGTGAACCGAATTACATAAGGCCTGAACTCTCAGAAATGTCAGAATCAATGAATAAAGATAAACCCCCATTGTTTGAACATTCCAGAACAAACGATTGACAAAACCCAAGTGACACACATGACGAGGGAGTACAATCTAACGTTGAAGAGTCTACGGAGATTAGTGAAGAAAGCACAGAGTGTTCTCGCCTGCATGCGTATGTGTAGAAAGTTTGAGGCCCAGGTGGATAAACTACTTCCTGCTCGGTGGGATTCAGTGAGAAATACTTCGTGGAACTATCGATAACGTGATTTCATAATTCGTGGATTTCCATGGAATGTGATGATTTTTCAAGGTAACCGCGGGCCACGCGCGTTTCGACTATTTTTGGCGTCGAGTGGGAGAGGCTCAAGTCGAGACAAGAGGTCTGAGAGATGAGAGGACGGCACTCAAGTGGGAGAATGAGTGCTTAAAGAAACTTGTCAACTCTAGGATTCAAGGGAGGGGTCTGGGCATTCGGACACCGATGCATTCAGTTTTTAGGGAGGAGAAGAAAGGGGAAGAGGTTTTTTTTCAAGTGGACTTGATCGACTTGAAAAAGTAAATGAATAGATAACTTTATTATTTATTTATTTAAAAAATATATATACGAAAAATTTAATTGAAATTCAATTCCCCGACATTTCTTCCTCAAAAACTGATGCTAATACTAATTTTTTCCTCTTCGATTTTTCTTCCAATTTCCGCAATTAATTTATTTAGAAAGAAAAAAAAGATTATTCAATAACAATTTTCTGTGCGTAGGTATAACATTACCAATAAACAAATTAGAATGCCAAATAATGATAATGATAATAATAATAAAATAATAATATTAATAAATAAATAATCATTTTCATTGTAGAAGTATTGTATAAAAGGAAAACAATTACCAACACATTAGAAAATTTGTAATCATTTGTTTTTTATTCAAATTCTGTACAAATGGGACAGTCATAATTTCATCACTTATATCATGGAGTGTATATTTAAAATATGAGAAAAAATGTGAGAACGAAGTGATTTTCAATGTAATTTCCATTGACGTATCATCTATCTGGTTTTTTATGTACACCTCCACTAGTATTATGAAGCCTTTGGAAAGGATGAATAATAATTAGCGCGACACTTTCTGGCTGTGTGCGATCTGTGAGAGGAGTTTGCTGCCAGCGAGGAATGTCACGACTCCCAGACCCAGGAGATAACGAAGGGTCACGAACATGTTCAGCTTCAGCCAGAAGATGCCGAACAGGACGAAAATACCTGGAACATTTCCGAGACGTTGATTCGTTAGACAAATTCTTTTTCTTAATAATAGTCGGTCTTGTTTTTTTTAATTCTTTTTTGCGTCAATTCTATTAAAATTGAAAATTTTTAATACACAAAATAGAGAATAAAAATTAAAATTTTTCAATAGAATTTTCTCTCATGATAATATTCTAATTAATTCTTAAACGTTTTGTCAACAAAAATTTGTTAAATGTTGTGAAAATCGGGCTGCAGTTGTGCCAATGAAAATCAAGTCACAACTGTGAAAAATTCACAGAAATTAATGTTCGCTCGATTGAAAACAAATCAATCTGTATATATAAAAATTGTCTGTCAAGCATCGAGCATTTAATCCATGAAAATATCCTCCTGAATCTGACTAGCATTCCATACACCGCTCAGGGCATTAAATCGATAACATCAGGTAATAGAACGCCTTAGGAATGACTTTGGGAACATCAAAGTTACGCAAACGACAGGAAAGCTATTCATGAGAAAGTTATGGGCCACGTGGGAATCTCCACGTCACGCCTCTTTACGAATTTGTTTTTCAATTCTAGGTGGTCACTCATTTTAAGCATTCACAGCTTAACTATTTCATAATTGACAAAGGGAGAGAGGTGAGGCACTGGGACAACTCTGATGAGAATACTAATGCCTATTTAAAATGTAATTTGGTGAGAATTTGAGATTTTCAATGGAATATTCATGGAATTGTATTGGAAACATAATTCTATTTTAATTCACGGGAAAAAAACTGATTATTCATGCCCCAGACTTCATATAAAAAAAATCCAAACAGAATAAGTTATTTTAAGAAATCAACATCTTGACTCTTTTTCCATAAAAAAAGATCTATCGAAAAACGTAAAGCTACAGACTTTTCAATAGAATTTCTCAGAGAATGTCAAATTTTTCAATCAATTTTTTTCAAACGTGTCGCCTAGGAAAGTGTTACCATCTCCTAAATAATGCAGTATGAATATTCAACAGCTCTCGCCATTTTGTTACTATTTCAACGTCGACATTTCATCCTCCCTAAATGCCATCAATCAATCATCAAAGAAAACTACTCACTGCCTAATCCGAGATGAAACACAACAGCACTCAGTGAGAATGGAAATTTGGAGATGTTGACACCGAGTTTGGCCCAGAGGCCGAACAGAATGAGAACAGGCACCAGGCAAAGCCCAGTGAAGAGATTGGACACGAACACTGGAGGTCTTTTCTCGGGTTCTCGGAACATGTGCTGCAATTCAAAAAGAAATAGATAAATCAGTTGAAACACTTCGAGTAGATGAGGTACGTGTAGGCTCAGACCAGAAGGCTTTTCGAATTGACAAATCGAAAATCCAAATTTATTCAGTGAAAAATAAGAGCCTTTTATTTTCCAGTGTTTTGGAGGTGACAAGAATACGATGAACTAGTGTCACTAACGAGCACTGGAATAAAAAAAAAAAAATGACGACACTTCGGCAACAGCCAATTTCTACAGAAACTTTCCCAATGGAAAAAATTGTGTAGGAAAATTAAATTCTGTAGTATAATTAATTTTTTCAATTCTTCGAATTCTCAACGCTTTCCTATAACATTTTTTCATATAATACCCCTGATGATTCTTACCTTGATCTCTGGCTTGGGAGAATAACTAATTGACTGATACTTGTGCCCCTGAGATTTATCGACCAATGCTGCCTCCGTCCCTGTGCGTTCCGGAAACTTGAGACCCACAACAGCTAAATTCCACTGGAAGGGATTCCCTATGATGGCATCCCCAACGATCAATTCAATATTGTAGTCACCACTTTGGTGTCCGAATGTCTGGGCCGCAGTACCAACAGGCATGTCGAATTTGTAGACATTCGTGGCGTCTGGCTCTGCCACAAATATCACCTCGCGAAGTTGCTTCTCATCGCCTGTTGATTTCACTGCTGAGAGCCGGACGAATGCCTGGTGCACACGCACTGGCTTCTCATTGGCAGTATCACGAAGCAAAAATCTCATTACGAGTTTTTGTTGGGAATCAGCCTCGATCTTGTGGCCCAATTTGTTGGGGTGCGCAATTCTGGAGGGAAAACATTATTGTGAGATGGAATTTTCACTTTTCATTAGTGTCATGATTATGATTCTTCACTGCCCGTTTTTTAATAGAAAATTTTCTAGAAGAGAAAACACTAGAATTTATGGAACTTTTAATGCAATTTCTCAATTGCATTCAAATTATTTTTTTAGCACTTCAGATGCAAAAATTCATGAAGTCGAATACAATTTTTATGTGTTTGAAAGGAGTTAAATTGTTTCTTGATGCAAAATTCCAAATCAAACGCAATTTTTTGCTCAATAAAATATTAAATATTATGCAACCGTAGAACTTTCGATTTTTCTTCTTTCTTATGAATCTAAAAAATTATTTGCATAATTTCTAGACACTCACTTAACTAGTTTGGGCTGTGTCGTCTGGTCGGCGTCGCCCGTTCCAATTTCCAGATAATCGACCTTCACATCTGATAGTACCTTGACAGTCACTGTGTTGCCGACATTTCCGGCTGACACTTGAATTTTGTAGAAGCCACGCTGGGGTTTGAAACGCGCGGAATCCATTGTGAATAAAGTTCTGCGAGTGAAAAAAATCCAACATCAATTTTCATATTCACACAGGTTTGAGTATATTTTTTGTTGCTGTCTGTTGAACCCAGTAGTTAACATTGCGGTACAATGCTGATAAAATCATTGGGTTCAACGCATTATTTACCCCAAGCGTATAACTGGCTTCAAACTAATTAGATAAAGTCAGCAAATAATTGGGGCAGAAGTTATTTTGTATGTTTCTTTCATTAAATCATTGAAAACCTACGTAGAATATTTATTGAGTACAGGCTGTGTACGTCATGTAAAACAGAAATATTTAGTTTTTTTTTGTAAGAAATCCAAAGATTTTTGCTATAAATTTTCTACAGATAAAAATTGCAAGAGAATAATTCATCAGAGGAATCAAAATCTATTAAGTCAATAGAATTATTGAATTATTTTGATAATTTAATTAATTAATCACATTAATGAAATTATCAAATCACATTATTTCATGGATATATGAATGAAGTTGCCCCCAAGAGGGTCTATAATCCAGATAAATTCCACTCACTTGTCGTCAGGTGAGGGCTGGAAATTCTCCTTGCTCATGACCACAACATCATCCCCGAGCCTAGTAGCTGAGGTGGCAATAACAGTTGGGACCATCACCAGTGGATTTCCCATTATGTCACAGACCTTGACCCTCACGAGTGGCTGTTGTTCTGACACTATATTGCCCCCCTCTGCCAGAGTAATGCAGACAGGCTTATTGAATTCGTTATTAGCTAGAATTCTCAACGCTGCCAGGAGCTTCACGACACCCTTGGGGGACTGGACGGAACGTCTCGAGAGCAGGTAATTAGTGATTTTCACGATCTGAGGGCCACTCACTGGGGGAGGCGTCTTCTGGGATGCTGACAGCCCGGCTATTCCAGTCACGACGAGACCTGCGAACAATCAGTCTCATGAAAATACCTTTCGCTTTCATTTTTTATCGCTTCAATTGTTGGTTATTAATATCAGAATCATTAGTTATCTCCAAGGTTCTTGCAGAAGAACGAAAGTTTGAAATAAACATCATGTATGAATTCACGAGTGACTTGTGGATTACGGATTTAACGACAATTGAAATGCGGATTTTGGTGGTAATGAACTTACTTGTGACTGAAAGACCCCCTTCGAACTGCAAGTACTTTCCATCTACCTCGTCAGCTTGAACGACAACATCTTCGATTTTCCCTAGTGCGAAACTGCCAGCTTTTCCCAGCATCGAAGCAATGTGGAATACGTAGCCAAAGCTGAGAAAAATGGATTGATTGGTTTATGCTTCTAATTGCTGTTGCAATTACGGCAGTTTCAAATGAATAAATGATGTCAAAAATGAAGAGAATTTTTCTAATGAATTGGAATTGTTATGAGGTGAGTTTTTCATACGTGACTTACTTGGAAATACTCTCGTCTTTCTTCAGAGTAGTCTTCAGGTTGTTCACTAGTTTAGTGATGGTTGCTTCTGACAATTTCTGAGAGAGACTGACGTACGCAGAAATTGCGTGATAAAGATCGGGAATTGTTGAAGCTTCATCCTCTATGACTGCAGTCAACGCCTGAACATCATGAAATTAAATAATATTAAATAATATTAATTTTTAATCATTTCTTACACAGTTCACTAATAAATCAAGTAATTGATTTTTTGTATCAAGTATTGAAAATATTTCATAGAGTGCAATAAAAATTGAATTGAATTGACTAAATTAATAGAATAAATTAGATTTTCTTAGTAATAATCAGCTGATTCCCACCATATTTATAAAAATACAATAATTAATTGTTTAATTAGCAAAAAAAAGGAAGAAAATGAGAGAAGTCGATTTATTTATGTATTAAAAAATCAAAAATATGAGAAATGAAGACACGTTATCATTACCTGAGTTAACGTGGCAGTAGGTAATGGTGAACATGACCCGAGGGCCTGCCACGCCGACACGATGTGATAAATATTCTCTGGACTAGTGTCCAAGTCATTACCGCAGCTTTTGATGAGATAGTTGCAGACATCCTGAAAGAAATAAGCCTCATCTTAAAATACCACCAGTTCAAAGTGTTATCCACCGAGAATTAATGAATTATTTTGTCAGAAAGACTAATCATGAAATCATTGTAATCAACATGGTATAATTTTCATCACGTTTGCTCTGGTGGGAGGTTCATTAGAGCATTGAAATGGACTCACTGAGGGCCTTGGGATCGCCTCGTTGAGGAGCTTGTACCCAAGCACAGCGTGATACACTGATGCTACATCCGTGAGTTTGAAACCTGGCTCGACGACTCCTCTCAGCCTAGCCCTATCGGTCTCGCTCAAATATGAATTCGTTGTGGTGGGAGCGTCTGGGGCACCGAGACTGCTCTTCAGGAGGAGCAATGCAACAATTGCCCATTGGACTGGAAGGATCAAATATGATTTTTCATTCTTTCTTTCAGGGAGTCATTTTTCATTCCAGGGACAATGAATACGAAACATTAAAATTGATTTTTCATAATGAAAAAAAGGTAGTGAAATTGAAGGTCAAAATGAAATTGAAAAGAACTGAATTAAATTAAATTGAATGATTTACGAGGACGAGAAGTTTTTTGCAAAATCCTCACGGTGAGGATTAAATTAATGTATTATTTGATGGCGTGAGGATGGAATAAATTCTTAGCTAGTTATTTATTCATTATTGAATCGTCGAGCATTCGCAGGTGTATCGAAATATACTAAAAAATTATATCGATGTAGTGATTGATTTCTATTAGAATCTATTCATTTTTGCCAATTCTAATTTCATTGCAAGATTTTAATTCTATTCATTTCTCCGGTAAAAAATATTTCACATTATTTTGTTGAAATGCTTTTTATGGAAATTTAAGGTCCTGAAACCCCTAAGCTAGTAAAATTTTATCAATAAGCTTCTAAAAACTCCTAAAAAAGTGCACAATCCAAAATTTCGACCGCGTGGGCTCCAACCCCACGCTATTTATAAAACCATGTCAAAATGCCACTGAATTATTACGAATTCTCGCAAATCAATCACTACCAATTACAATAAAACTATAGTTTTAATTTTTTTCAGGAATTCTACTTACATCTGTACATCGTGATAAATTAAACAAACGGTCAGCCGGCGGCCACGTCGGCTTTCCAGACAAGATGGCTCTTTCCCCATTGCGCGTGTCAATGAAAATGGTCAAATCGTGAGAGGAAGTTAGCTGGCAGCTCTGTGCTGCCAACGGCCTCACGAACAAACCGATTAATGACTGACTTTCCCTTCCGGCGCCTCCTCGCGCTCATGGAAACTCGGCGCGCACTTCCAGACGTACGAAAAAATTCTTGCGAATCGATAGAACTTTCTATTTGAATTCTATTTATTTTTTCATTAAAAATGTTCAATGGAAAATTTTCTATAGGAAAAATGAATTGAATTCAATTTTTGTATTCATTTTCTATTGAGATATTTTCCATAGAAATTCCGTGGCTCAATTTTTTTTTAAATTTTCTTAATGAAAATGGGAAAAAATTAAGTTGAGAAAATATTAATTTCTCCGTGAATGTCCGGGGAATTCGGGGGAAAATATAAATTCCATGTTTTGATCAAGGATATCCTTCTTTTATTATGAAACATGACAACTCGACACAGTTATGCCAGTTCCCTCGATTACACACTTATAACTATAGATGTGCTTAATTTGTACATAAAGACCATTTTCACATTTTTCATTCTTATACTAATCAACTTACTTGATATATTATTTTCATTACAAAAAGAGAGATTTCTAAAAGTAGCGTGGGATGAGCAAAGTTAATGGTCAGCGGAGAGCAGATGAAAATTTAATACATTTATTGAAAGAAAGATCATCGCCTCGTCGAATTCTTCTTACAATAGAGGAATATATTTCTCAATTATGAAATCGCGGATGAAAAATTGTACAGAAAAACTTGACGATTTTCCCTAAAAAAATATTTTTTGCGATCATTTTATTGAGAATTTTTCGCAGAAAAAACTCAAGAGATTTTTTTAATAGGAATTTTTCTATTCTCTTGATGTTTTTCTATAGAAAATTCTTTCCACAATATTTTTTTGTTTGCAATGACAAAGCCCAAAGAAAAAAATTAATTCCAAAAATTGTTATAGAACTCTAATAGAATTCTTATAAGTTTCAATAGAAAAGAAGTCAACGGATTTTCATTCTTCTCGTCAAGTTTCTTTAAAATGAATGGAATTTCTTAGAGAACCCGCTGAATTTTTCCACCAAAATTTTTCATCCGCAAATTATGTAAAAAATCCAATCCTTAAATTTTCTCTGCTCCCCCCATTCCCATTATGAAATGAAAACTCCTACAACGAAGCATCAGAGCCGTCGCCAAATGTCAATATTTGTGCGAAATAACTAGAACTAATCATCTCTTCCCCGTTTGACAGGCATCACAAAGAAATGAACTCTCCCTTAAACCCTCCCCACATCCGCATACTCCCTACAAACATATTTGCATTGCCCTCAGCAATGACATTCGCAATTCAACGGTCATACGGAAGATCCCCAAAGGAAGATATTTGTACAGCTCATAATGTTCCTCCCACGATTTTTGTTCCATTCATCCTGGAAGTACGATAGGAATTGCACTGTCCTACGTCCTTATTGTTATCAGCAGTAAATAAAAAGTAATAATGAAATCACGCACGAAAAAATTTCATAGAAAAACGCATCGAATTCGAGAAAAAATTCTATTGAATTTCTATTGAGAATTCTATTAGCTTTAGTGCGGGTTTTTGTAATCGAAAATTCAACAGAAATTATTTTATAGAAAAAAATGAATGGAATTGCGTCTTTCGATAGGAATTTCTGGACCTGAATTTTCCAAGTTTTTTCCCATCTACTTGTCTTCTTCCTTCACTGAAGAAAAATCAAACAAAAATACTTGAGGAATTTCTACACAAAATATCTCAATAGAATAAGTTGCATAAATTTCCACATAAACTGCGGAATTTTTCCGCATCTAAGAGATGTTAAATAAAAATTCACAGAATTTTCCAGCGAATTTCCAGCTTTTCTCTACGAAAGTTTTTCGTACGTGCGGACAGCCGCCATCGGGATGCTCTCATAGTATCGAATTATTCAAAATTTTTTACATTTTCTCCTTTTTCTTAAAAAAATCATTAAGAAAATAACCAAAATGGAGGATGACGCCTCAGATTAAATCGAAACAAACTCAAATATAAATACGTTCCCAGTATATACACAGCCAGTTTTTATTCAAAGTATCTCCTACAGTACTTTCAATTTTTTTATTCATCGCTCATCCTCAGGACAATTTGTTCACGTTAAAACATGCGAAATATTTTACAAAGGGAACTCGTCGCATTTTCGTATTGTTCTTCTTCTTAGGCTATGTACAGGCGAAAAAGCTTGCTTTCCCCGAGCGCAACAGGATGACAAAGTATTGTATCATTTGTGTTGCCTGTCACTTTGGTATTTACAGAGGGGAAGAACGTTGGTGTGAAGATGAATTAGGGCACTGAGTCTTGATATTTCATTGATGTACCGGTGGAAATGTCTAATGAATCATGACTGGGGCTGGGAAATTCATTTGAGGATCCATTCCAATTGAACTAAGCCAATCACATTCATTTTCCCGGCCATTTATTCTTTTGAAATTAAATAATTTGTTTTTCAGCAAATTTACCGTTTTTTAAAATGAATATTTGACAGGGATAAGTCAACAGATTCTTCTATAAAAATTCTTGGGGATGAATTTTCCATTTTTTTTCTCATAATAAAATCCGAGGAAAAAATAGAATTTTTAATTATTGGAATTGTCGTTCGTAATTGAGCTCCCCAAAAAGCAAAAAAGCCAGGAAGATGATTAGAATCCCCTGAATCCCCCGCCCCCTCCGCAAATTTCCTCAAATGAACTCCCCTCCCCTCGCCCCATAATAAACCAAAAATAAAGTGAAAAATAATGAAAACCTACGAATAACGAATAATTCAGTCGGAGGGTCCCTGACCCCACCTAGACTTTGTCCTCGGTGTTTTAGGGGGTGAGATTGCACTCCCATCGTCAGTTACTTTCCTCTTAACACTGATAACAACTCCACTCTTGGGTACAAACTTTGGACTTGACTCGTTCCTCGTTTCCACAGTGGGAGGTGTTCCCGAGAAGATGGGGAGCTCCTCGTCCTCAACTCCCGGTGGTTTCGGTTGATCGGAGACCCGAGATTTCGATGCTGAGAGGCCCCCAGGATAGCTGATATCAAGAGCTTCCCTGGGCCCAAAAGTGGCGTCAGCTTCAGCAGGTCCAGGAGGCAGAGGAGGATCGACAGGTCCAGCGGCTGCTGCCACAGCTGCGAGTTCCTCCTCCGCCTTTTTAATGAGATCCAGATCACTCAGAGACCTCAGAGTGCTCTTGTTCTCCTTGGTGACAGAGGTCGGTGTGTAAGTCTTCTCGATCTTCACAGGAGCATTGACAGGCGTCAGGAAGGACGCCCCAGGCTTCGAAGGAAGATAAGGATCGACTTTGCTGCTCTCCTGTCTCTTCACATTCGCCAGGATCTCCTGGAGATTCGCAGGTATCGTTATATCCTGGACTTTATCAAGAATTGGTTGTGGAAATTTGGTAAGAGATTGAGGTGGAGGTGTGAAGGATCTGGCATCAGTTGGACTGTAAGCCTCGTCCTCTGGTGGGTCCATACCAAGACCAGGCAACGGTGACTCCTCCAGGAACGACGAGGACATCAGGATCTGCTGCTTCTGCTCCTCTATCCTTCGATTCAACTCCTCAACTTTCCTCTGGATGTCATTGGAGTTCTTTGTAGGCAATAAATTGCTGGTTGATAGTTTGATTAAACTGTCCTCAGGGTCGTCGTCGATTTCTCCAGGGCTGTACGGCTCGTCACCATCGTCAGGATCCTCGTGGGGCTTTCCTGGGGACGATGTCAGGTCCAGCTTCGACGATAATTCAGGAACAATTTTAGAAATTACTGATGAATCCATCAGATTCCTCGACATTCCAACTTGGGCTTTATTCAAGGAATTCAGTGTCGTCTGGGTTATCAAAGACTTCTCACTGTGATCATGGGACTTCTCCGAGGACGACGAGATCTTCTCCTTGGAGATGTGCGCTGGGGGAGGTGTGTAGCTCCTATCAGACTCCTTTTTCGCTAGCTTGAGAGGAATTTGAGAGATCGAAGTGACAGAGGGTCGTTTCCTCTTGTTCCTGATGATGATGCCGAGTAATAAATGCGGTCTGTTCTCCTCGAAGCCAGGGCCAATGAGCGGCCTCAAGATCGGGGGTATCTGGCTATTACTCGAGAAGGGCATTATGTAGAAGTCCTTGATGTTGTTGGAGATGGCTCCAATCACCCCAAGTCGACTTCTGCTGTTCAAATAGCTGTACAGAGTGATGTAGGGGATTTTCTCCTCGTCGTTGGCAGCTGTCAGTCGAATAACTAGGATCTCTTTGGAGCCATTCTTCTTCATCTTGGACATGTAGTCCCAGACGGTCTCAGGGCCGATCCTTCCGACGACGTCGATGGAGTCTGGCAGATCGTCCATGAGGTCCTTGGCATGTCCACTGATTTCTTGAGCTGTTATGAAGAATTTGGCGACGTCCACCATGTTCACGAAGCCTCGCCAGACAGTCTGAGAGCTGCCTTTCACCACTTCTTTAGGTGGAGAGACTGACAACAGAGGCTGTTCAATACTTATCACCACTTCTTTCTCCTTCTCCAGATCCTCATTGATGTCAGGAGTCTTAATATTAACCGTGGAACTGGGCTCCCTGTCGGAAACATCAGAGTCATTCCCATCGAGAGTATTCGTCGTTGTCTCCTCTTCCACGTGCCTCCAGAGCCGATCCTCAATGGGTTTCTCGGGTGGAGGCGCTGCAGACTCTTTCTTCTTCTCCTCAATCTTCTTTTTATCCTCCTCCTCACTTCGTTTTTTCTCCTTGTCCTTGTGACTGTCCCTGTGACTGCTCTTCGATCTACTGCTGCTCTTGCTGCTTCTCCTCGATCTGTCCTTGTCCTTGTCCTTTGATTTATCCTTCTCCTTCGACTTGTCGCGATCCTTCTCCCTCTCTCGATCCTTCTCCTTGTCCCTCTTGCCATCCTTACTTTTTCTTCTATCCCTGCTTCGATCCCTGGAGCGATGTCTTCTACTCCTGCTCGAGCTCCTCTCTCTCTTCGAGTCCTTGTGCTCTTTATCCCTCGACTTGTGTCCATCCTTCTCCCTCTCCCTGTCCTTGTCCTTCTTCTTCTTCTTGTCGTCGTGTTTAGGCACTTTGACTCTGGAATCTTCGATCGACGAGGACGTCGTCTCCTCTTTCTCCTCGAGAATGTCCGAGGATGTGTTGTCAGCACTGTTGAGAACAGTCACAATGTCCTGAACCGGTGTCTTTGGATCCACAGCCTCTAGACCCCCCTCGTTCTCAATTATCTGCTCCCCTTTGTGTGTTTTAACAACAATCGACTTTGCCTGCGCCATGAGATCCAGCTCGTTCTTCTTTATCATCTCCAACTGATGTTTAGTTTCCTTTTCCCGCCACTCCGCTAGTTCCTGGCTCGCCATCTCCTCAGGACTCAGCCTGACAACAGCATCTGGGGTCAACGATCTGTCAGCAATCTTCCTGAAGAGAGTTAAATTCTTCGTGTCCTTAATATTGAAGGAGAGACTTCTGTACTTGGCTTTGTACTTGGCCCCGGCATCCTTGAAGTACTTGTACATCTCCAGTTCTATGTTCAAGGCCAGTTCTGTTATCTCGTCGTCAGTCAGCTTCAGGTCCTCTGTCTCCTTGATCCTCGAGGTCAACGCTTCAGCCAACGACTTCCTGATATTCAGTCTTATCGGTTCGGGCTCTGACTTCTTGGACCCCTGGGGCTTGTGGGAGACCTTCTGTGACGATGCACTCGACTTCTGCTCGCTCTTCTTGCTGGATGACTGCGGTTTACTTGCAGCTGGAGACTTGCTAGGCTGAGGAACAGTCTTGATAGTCGTCTGCTTCAGCACTTGGGGGCTCTTACCTGGAGCTGGTTTCAGGGGTTTCACTTGGGGTGTGTGAGGCGACACTAGAGTGATTTTCTTGCTCGGGGCTAGAACAGTCTGCCTGGACCCAGCCACCTTGGCATACATCATTTTAACCGGTATACCAGGGGATGATTTTGATTTTCCAGGGGTTTGAATAGCCGCCATCGTCTTTCCACCAATCTGAATGGTGTTCAGACTGTTTGGACGAACAGCCTCAAAGGTCGGATGCTCCTTCAACCAGTTCTGCAGGTTCGACCGCGTCGGGGCGTCACTTCCAGTCAACAATTTCCCTGTTTTTCGTTCGAAGACTATCACTCGAGACTCCTTCAGGCCATCCTTAGGAGTCTTCGAGGTCTGCTGGACCTTGTCTTTAGTCAAAGCCTCTTGTGCATGCGCTAAAATGCAAACGTCCGAGCAGTAGATGCTAGAGTTTCTCGCCTCCTTCTTGCAGACGACGCACTGGGTCACTGCACCAGCTCCTGGGGGCGCCACTCCCACCTCTGGCTTCACCAATTTCTCGGGAGCCTCCACTTGGGGCTTTGGCTGCAATCCCTCCGACGGCTTCTGGATTTTGCTGGTCTTCGGGGGTCTGCTCGTCTCCTCAGCCTTCTTCTTGGAGCAGTTGGGGCAGACCCACTCGATCCCCTGCTCCTCCATCTGCTGTCCCATTGCTTTACTCACGTGAACGCATTTGCCGTGAAACCAGTCCTCGCAGACGTCGCAGCAGATCATGAAACGATTGTTGTGGGGACGTTTGCAGATGCACCAGAGGCGATTTGGATCGTCCTCGGAGTCTGAGTTGTCCTCCTCGTCATCGTCCTCCATTTCCGAGTCCATTTCCTCGGATTTCTTTGGGTGAGAGGGAGTGGAGGGCTTGGGGGGCTTCTCCTCTCGTTTTGGGGTGTCCTGGGGCTTCGGGGGGGAGTCGTTTTTCGATTGGAGACGTTTGCTCCTGGTGGCAGGAGCCTCGATGGGAGGAAGTGTTATTATTCTACCCCCTCGGACGATCTGAATTGGCTCTTTTGTGTCTTTCTTTTTGTGGTCGGTTTGGGGGGGTGGTGGAGGGTTCTGGGGGACTGGTGGAGGGTTCTGGGGGGCTGGGGGCTCTGGCGGCTTCGCTGGAGGTGGGGAGGGAAGGAGGGGCGGCTCGAAGGGAGGGGGCGGGAGGAGGGGGGAGGCTAGGGGCGGTGGGACGTCCAGAGCTGTTGGGTCTGACAGATCAACGTCGAGTTGCTCCTGGAGGAGGAGGGCCTCTGCCAGGAGCTCCTCTTCGTGCTTGCTGGCTTCCATCTCTAGAGTTGCTAGCAGGTGCTCGTTACCCTCGATGCCGCCAGGATCAAGCACAGCATTCAGATCATCAGCTACGTGCTTCTCGTTGTGGTCATCCCCATCCCCCAGCAATGCCCTGGCCTCCTCTTCAACCCTTCCACTGACATCTTGACCCTGTTCCACACTCAAATCCTCCCTCGGTTTGACGTCACCCTCCAGGTTCATCAAATCCTCCTTTATCGTCGCCATCTGATGGTCCTCAGGCTCTGCCACTGGTTTCCCACCTCCATCAGTCACCTCCAGAGGTTCAGGCTGTTCGGGGGCCTTGGCCTCCCCCACAGACCCCACTCTCCTGATGATATCTGGAGTGGAGAACAGCGCAGGCCCCAGTGCCTCCACGAAGACACCTGGCGACTTCTTCGTCTCCTTCTTCACGTGCTTCTTGGACGTGTCAGGAGTCTTGATCTCCGGGGTCTTCGGGGGCTCCACCTTCTCCTTCTTCTCCTTCTTCACCTCAACAGGTTTGACCTTCACTGGAGTCACTGGGACCACCTTGGAAGCCACCTCAGGCACCTGATTGCAATTCTCCACTGGAGGGGTCTCAGCAACAACTGCTGGAGGCGCCACTGCAATCGTCTTACCCATCGCAGTTATGAGCTTTCCATCCTCTGAAGTTGCTAATTTCGTCTGGATCTGATTATTCAACTTGACAGGGCCCTTGGTGATGACAACAGGTGTCTTCTTGATCCCGAAATGCTTTATCTCATTCGCCTTCATCACGATCTTCTTCTGGACGAAGTAGACCTTCTGATTGTTCCTCGATTGTCCAGGTTTCGTCAGGATCATGTCGCCTTTGATCATGTTCGCACTGATGAGGTTGGCCTTCACTTGATTAGTCGTTTGCAGCGGCTTTTCGGGTGACGGTGGGGGCTCAACTGGCACTGCCGGGGCTGGTGGCTCCTCCTTTCTCTTCCCACCCATCGTTCTTATCTGCTTCTTGGGGCGAAGGCTCTGGTCAGGCTCTGATTTCACTGGTGTCTTCATCTCGTCCACTGCAGCCGCCATCTCCAGGTTTAACCTGCGAACTTGGTCTGTGTCTAGTTTTGTGGGACGACCTGGTCGTCTTGACGCCATTGTTCCACCTCTGGTTGTCAGGCCTTTGCGACCACCTCGGGCTCGCACTCCTCCTCGCCTGGGCCCACGAGGGCCGAAGTCCAGGTCGTCGTCTGAGGGCTCAGACTCGGAGGACTCGGAAGTCGAGGGCTGACTCGAGTCCTCGTCCTCTTGGAGTCTTGTGGCGGGCTTTGGGGAGTCTGGAACCGCTGGGGGGGACTGGACTCCCAGGGGCGCTTTTCGGGGACGACCCACTGGCTTCTTCAGGGAGGATTTCGGGGAGAGCTTGGCCTCGGGGACCTCTGGGAAGTGCGAGGGGGCACTGACGCTCGGGGGGAAGTCGACTTTTTCGACCTCGGGGGAGTGCGCCACTGGCAGGGGGTCCAGGGGCGCTGGGTCCGCTGGGGACGTCCGACTTGTGTAGCAGTGGTCCAGCTCGATGCTGTAGCGGATCGAGTTCTGTTCCTCTTCTACTGTCAACATATCTGGGGGAGATTAATATTTAGGAGATTAATTTCATTTATTTATTATTTATCACAGAAATTTTAGAATTCGTATTTTTGTTATCAACAGGGATTTTAAGTCATTAAGTTCAATAAAATTCCATTCTGGAGAAAATTGCAATTTTTCAACATTACCTTAAATCGATAATTAAAACTTTTGTATATAGAATGATTTTTTTAAATTTATTGTTTATAAATTATTCATGGGAAAAATCTTGATCTAAAATACAACTAAATTTCAATTTTTATTCTGGCAGGGAAGATCGAATGCATGAAAATCGAATGAAAATAAAATGCAAATGATAGAATAAACATACCTAACATGGCTGTCACATTCTCCCCGAGTATCTGTTTAGCCTGTTCACTCTGGAGTGCAGTCTCTAACCTCTCCAACTGTTCAGGATCCATCTCCATGAATGGATCAACAATATCAGGGGTTGTGGTAGTGGGTGCTGGATGCACATTACTATCTGGAGGAACAAATGTTGGTGGATCAACCGTGAACGTTAAATCCCCATTTGGAGCATCAGTCTCTGTCTGACCAACTCTGACGACACTCACGTTGGCATTCGATTGATTCACTGCAACATAGAACAAAAACTCTGAATTCATTTCATCCTCTAAATGCCCAGAAACAATCCCCAAAAAAAATCAATGGACTTCATGAAATCTTGGATATCTCTTGATCAAATGATACGATTGAAACGAAAAAAAATTGGTTTATTCTCTTCCTTCTCCAAAACTTTGAAATAAAAATCTCCATAATCTGTCTTTTCCAAAGATTTCAGAATCTAAAAAAATTGTCCTGAAGACCCTTTTGTAGAAAAAAAACTAGAACTACGAAAAATATTTGCACAGAAATTCCTCGATCTCTCATAATTTCAGAGATAACGAACTAGATAAAATTAACTCCCTGGAATCCTCAATAACTCTCGACCAAACAATGCAATTTAAACAAATCAGCTCTCATTTAGCAATTCCGAAAAAATCTTCGAAATGAAAAAAAATAGTCCAATTTCACTCTGCCAATCTCGAGATAACCCCAATCAATTACCCCCCAATTAACCCGCCAAATCCCCGTTGTTTATTATCAACTTACTTATTAAATTTTGCAGTGTCTCCTGGTCCACAGAAATCGTTCCATCGTCATTAACAACGATAATCAGAGTGTCATCCTTCTTCGCCTCGCTCTCACGAGGTTCCACGATGTAAGAACTTGACATTGTGAATCTATTAAAAAAACAATTCCCTCCATAAGAGTTAAAACATTATCTAATAAACGAGCAAAAGGTCTGCCATAACGTTCTCAACGAAATGCAATTCCACTCGACCCCACGAAAATCCTCATTTCGGTTGCAATTGACAACAACGAAATCCCGCGCTTATGTAAATGAAAATAATAATAAACACGATTGAGGAAAGATGACGGCAGCCATCTTGTTTGATGTCGGGAGGAAGTAGGTGAGGTGGACGGTGGCCCAAGTGGAAATGCACTAAAGTAATGTTACGTTGTACCTCTTGTTTCCCCTTCTGTCACCACTGTATCAACGATCTTTATTTTGTCAGGGATAATTTGCTGATTTCGATGCACTCACGTCACTGATGTGTCCGTTTTATTTTTTCATCGCGGATAAGCCGCGAAATAACTCTCAGCGATACATCGTGCTCGTCGGAATAGTCACACCAAGTCACACTGCCCCCGAGGGACTGTTGTGCGCAAACGACGCTGTCTGCGCGTCATGTAATGCGCAAATCAAATTCAACACTTGAGCGCCAAATTCGTTAATCGGGGGTTTTCATTCCACAGGACTCGGATTTTTTTCGGGTTTCGTTAGGAAATTATTTTAATATTAATAGTTAATTGGGATACGCGTGATAAAGTAGAATAGATGAAATTCTATCGGATTGCTAGTGAAAATTCCACCGCGTTTATTTCTCAGAAAAAGTGATTAAAACTATTTTACAGAAAAATTGGTAGAATTTCATGTTTCTGGGTTGGATTGAGAGTGGAATTAATAGTGAATGGGTAAAACAAGGTTGGTAAAATAATTTTCGCAATTTTTTTCCCATTTTTATTATTTCTACAATTCACGTGTAAGAACATATGGTAGAAAAAACTAGAACAATTCTATTCAAATTCTATTAAAAGTCCCAAGGACTATTTTGATTAATTCTATATCTACCAAAGAAGGAATAGGGATTCCTTCTTTGGTAGATATGTCATGGAAACTATTCAAATTGTCAATTATTGTCCGTAGTTTTTTGTTATATAAATGCCTGCCGCTGTATTATTCATTGTTCCTCATTACAATATCCAGGAAAAAAAATATGGGAAATTAATGCCCCTGAATTGAAATGGAATGCATTGAATACAGAGACAGCAACATCTGTTGAATCTTTTCTATAAAAATGTATATATCGAAAAATTGCCATTGATTTCTACTTAAAAAAATATATTCCCAACAATGGAATGACAATTTTTGAAGCTAATTGGACCTATTGGGACCGCTATTTACCGATGGCGGCGTGGTGATCGCCCTCATAACATGGACGACCGATGGTTTACCCGTTCAAACTTGTTCAAACCCTCACATTGGAGCTGACAGTAGTAGTTCCTCTTCGACTCATTCATTTCTGTATTGTTTTTTATTGTTGTGCTCGAAGTTCCGATGGTGTCATATTTTAGAAAAACTTGAGAATTTGCAAAGTAATTGATTGAAGTACCAACGATAAACCATCGGACGGCCATTTTTTTTAGTGCAGGGAATACCCACCATACCTCGCAGCGTCGCTTTCTAGCCGCTCCAATTCTGTCCTAATGAGACTAAGCAGTAATTCTATGATACCTTCAGGGCTTTCGCCTGCATTAACAATAGTTAAATTCCAGCCCTCGACGTCGTCTAAATCGCACTCGGTTTCGCAATCGTCAACTCCTTGAAAATAAATTTATTGAATCAAGAATAATTCACTAGAACTACTTGATGAATTTATTTCAAGGGAAATTGTTAATTAAAAATTTTAATCTTTCTATTCTTTAAGGATGGTGGAGCATGCATCTATTGAATTAAATCTCACTAAACAATAAATAAATAAATGAACGAATAAATGAGTGAATGAATGAATAAATGAACAAATGCGAGTTTACTTTTCACAATAAATTACCTTTAGTAAAAATCCATCCACGTTGACTCCGAATATGATCTGGACATTTTATCCGAATGCTCTTACATTTCTGTGGAAAATTCTCCCTGAACCATTTTAAATCGGTTTTTCTCCTAACATCACTGACAATCCAAATTCTCTTCCCCTTGGCTAAAATAAAAGAAATAAAAAACGTTGAAAACGCGAGCGAAAAAATTTCCTAAAAAAACCTATCGAAATTCTATTGAAAAAAAATTAACAGAAAGTTCAACAGAAATCGAAGAATTTTCTATCGAATTCGCTAGATTTTTCTGTGAAATTTTTCGTGTGTGAACTGACGACGTGAAAAGAATTCTCAATGCATTCACCGTTATACATGTCAATGGCCGCCCGACAGAAATACCCGGGATCCTTGTTCCTGATGTCTTCACCCCACTTGATCATCTCACGTCGATGATTCTCCTTGTATTCCCCGTCGGTGAGTAATTTATTGAAATCGAGTCTACGAGTTTTCGCCCAGTGTCTCTTTATTGGACCTGAGATTTTTATCATAGCGATGTCGTCTGAATCCAGTCTAAAACCAATATTCAATCGAAATAATGATTGTCATGCACGAAAAAAATTCAGAGAAAAACCTAGCGCACTGTACTGCATTTCCATTAGTTTTTGACTGATTCTATTTGAAATCTCTGTAGCTTATCTGCTTGTTTTTTTTCAGAAATTTTTTTATAAAATTCTCTAGATTTTTCTTTGTGCGTGATCAGTTGAAATCGGCTGTAACAACTCAAACGTCAGCTCCTCAACGCAATTGATGGAAAATTGACCCACTGACCCCCTAAATCAATCAAATTCCTCACGTTTTGAACAATATGTCAGTGATATAATCCTTCCCCGATTTTCTTTTGCCACTGAACAACAGAATTATCTCAGGAAAACGAGACATTCTTACGACTTGCGAGGCACTCGATCCCGACACGTCAGCCATATTGAATCTCGATTGTCGAAGATCGAAAAATCAGAGAACGATTTCGTTAACCTCCAATTATCCAGGGAGTTGTGAACCTCTTTGATGACAACAGTTAATTTCCTGTTTATGATGAAGAGACTTGACATTTTTTTTTGTTTTTCGTCTCTCTCGGGGAAATGTTGAAATGAACGTTTTATTTGGTTTTAGGTTTTTTCAAGTTTTATTGTTTCTTGCAAAATCTACATTTATTTCTTTCCTTTAGATTCACGAAGGGCCTTACGCTCTGTTGCCCTCTTCAGCTGGGCCTTCGGCTTCAGATTGTGCTTCTTAGCGAATCTCTGGTTACGCAGGAATTTCAGGTCCATCTGTAAATAAATACAACAATCATGAGACACAATTAATTATGTACTAATTGGTGAATTGATCAATTATGGACAATTGGGTAAGTTTATTTTTTGATTTTATTTTTGATTTGGAAGAGCTTTGAACATTTCTGTTGAATAATATCATTTATTTATGAAATAGATACTGGATGAATTCTCGTTGGAATTTTTTCTTCAATTTAATGTCACTCTCAATATCTTGAAACCATTGCACCATTTGATCAGGAGACATTCAAGATTTAAGAAAGTCCAATTTACGAAATTTATTTTCATTCTTCTGTGACAATCAGTCGGATTTTTTTTCAATATATTTTTGAACGAAAAAAGTTTTTATACTCACACCAACAGTGGACTCGTGCCTGTAGCGTTTGGGTTTCTTGATGCCATTTCTGTGGGCCTTTCTGCCTATAAAATAAAATAAAAGTAAACAATTGTCGAATTTGAGCTAATGGAAAAATTTTCTGCTCATTCAGAACTCACTCTGATTGTGATTTGTGTGATTCTTAGACTTTGCCATTTTTCCTGGTGTTCCTCAGCCTATTCTGCAACAGAATTGATGAACACTTTGGATTATTTACATTAAACACAACCGTTGAGGTTAGATCATGCCAGAATTTTCAGAGGACAAGAGAAATTTATTCGGAAAATAATCGCTCAGAAACGTTCGGCATGATCTATTCAGGATTTTCGCAATTTTTTTAATTGAAAATATTCAGTGATTGTTTGGGATTAATTGGATTCATTTCACATTTTATTACGAAAAATGGGGGATCGACGTACCACACAACGGAAGCGGAAATAAAAAAGAGGGGCGATTTGAGTTCCTCTGGTGGAGGTTCGTAAAACTGATTCATTCATTAGAATTTGTCAAAAAGAAAGATTCATTTGCAAACGATTAAAAATTAATACTAATAATTAAATAATAATTATTATTATAATTCTTGAATAATTAATTACTGAGAATAATCGAATGGAAATTGTTCAATAAAAAATGTCTCAAAACATTAAATCATTAGTCATTAAATATTATTTTATTGGGAACAAGAAGATTGATGACAACTCATTGATGATAACACAATGAATAATTCATTCATTTTCATGTACATTTATTATTGAATCACGTGCAATACTAGAAACATTTTCAACTAATATAAATCAATGGCAAGAATTCATAACGCAGCCAACATGAACTTAATCCGTGAATAAAAATCACACATGTCTATTTAATATCACAGTCAGGATCGATATCGTATGGCACAAAAAAAATGCAGTCGATTCTATGGGATTTTCCTAGTCGAAGCCGAGTAGTTGCTTTCGCAGTTTGAGGAAATCAACGATTTTCTGGGGTATCGGTTTCTTCAGGTTGAGGGCGATCGCAGCGTGATGGAATTTATCCTCATTCTTCCTTATGTACATTCTTGCGTCTTGCTCCAGCTGGCTCAATTTTTCGGGCCTCGTCTCCTGCATTGGGAGCATCTCGGTGAGGTAGGGATTGAATCTGTAGTAGACGTGGTCTGGCAGGAGATCATTCAACATTGTATGCACACCTGCAACGTAATGAAGGGAATTAATTCATTAAAACATACATTTATTCATTTTTTATTGGAGAGACGTTTTGAAAAATTCTATTCACCAGGAATTATTGTACAGAAAAAAATTAATAGAATTTCGTTAATTTCATCAATTAAACTTGATAGAATTTTTGATATATTTTCTGTCGAAAAAAAAAAAAGAATGAATGTAAAATTGATGAAATTATTGTATTTTCCGGCCGTCAATTCCTTTCTAGAAAGTGAAAATGAAAAAAAACCCATTCATCAAATAAATTGATAAAAACCTTCGGTATCTGTAGCACTAGCCAATATTTTATCGAATTTATCCTTCCAACTGGAGGCATTAGTGGCCTTGCTCTCATCCCCATCGTTGATGGACGGTGGTGTTCTCCCAGTTCCAAAGGAAACCACACACTGTATCGGTGTGTTTGGCCACAACAATTTAGCCTCGTGGATGGCGACAGCACAGGGATTATTGACCATTATTCCGCCGTCCGATAGAATGTACTTTCCATGCTTGAACTCCTCGAAGTACGTTGGTGCCGCTGCAGAGGCTCGAACAGCCTCCCATATCTTGTGCCTGTGTGAGCCCATGTACTGGGATTCCACTCGTGGGGGGAGGGTGTAGTTTCTGAATATGTACGCCATTATCTGGACGTTATCGAATACTGATGCAATTGCTGAAAACTGCAGAGGGAAAAAACTAATAGACTTCGATTGAAAAATTGTAAAATTTGTAGCGAGGAAATTTATGGCGACTGAATTCTTCCAGAATTCGGATAGAAATTCCGAAGAATTTCACTAAAATCATGCATTCCTCCATTTCACATTGTTTATAATTAATGCATTATTAACAATCACCTTTGGTGAATTGGGATCGCGCTGAGTCTTGATCAAATCTTTGTCCCCCAGTTGTTCCTGGAGTATCTGCTCCCACAAGGCAGTGTCATAATAAGCATGACTCCACATTAAGCTACTGGTGCCCCTGAGTGCGCCCTGGGTGAAAACCTTGGCACTCAGATCCTTGTACAGATCCGAAATCTCGTCGAGAGTCTTCCTCTTGTGACCCCCTAAAAACCGAGAACGAAAGCATTCAAAAAACCTTATATTTTCCCAAATGATAATTATGAATTAGTAGAATTAGAATGAGAATTGTGTACCGGTATCACTGGACTCCCGAATAGTGGCTGCGAGTCAAACAAATAAACATCTTCAGAGATCTTTTTATTTTCATACCAAAAATTTCACAAATTTCAATCGATTCGTAATATTTCCCTAATTTTGTGGTCGGATTTTTCATCCTTTTTCCTTTCATTTTCATGCTTTTCTTTTAATTTCTTCATTTTCCAAGTCTATTGAAGATTATGCAACATTTAAAACATTTTTTACGAGATATTTAATGAAAAAACAAGTCCATAGATTTTTATTTTACTGCAAAAATTCTTGGGCATAAATTTTCCGCTGTATTTTTAATTATTTCTCGTAATAAAATGCCACCACAATGAGTAATATAGAAAAATCAACATCTATTAATTTTTTCCACACATGCTATCTCGATAAATAATGCAATGACTTCTCAATTTCTCACAATTAGAAAAAAAAATGTTTTTTAAACATTTTCCACGCAATGTCCTCAATTAAAAATTCCAAAACACTAAACTCACCGAGAACAGCCGAAAGAATGGCCCCAGTGCTGACGCCGCACATATAATCAAACATCTCATGAACCCTCTGGCCAGTAAATTCCTCGAGTTTCTTCAGCATCTCAATGACGAGAAGTCCCCTCATGCCGCCTCCATCGATGGAGAGGATCCTGATCCCCTTTCGAGGAACCGGATCCACATACCCCATGACGGCGAGAGCCTCCCTGATGGACTCGGCGATCCTCTCGTCCTTGGCGTGCTGTCTCAACCTCAGAAGAATGGTGATAGCCCCCTCCTTGAGGGCCAGATGCCTGGCCTCCGGGTACTGCTCGATGTGCGTCAGCAGGTCCTCGATCCTCCTGGATTGCGAGGCATTCGACTCAGCTGTGCTGATGCTATTCAACACGTGCTTCGTCCTGGAGGCAATGCTGTGTTTAGTGATGCTGTTGTTGATATTGGTCTTCCATTTTGGTACTGTCATCAAGGGAGTCGTTTTCTTCGGATTCAGCCTGTCGAAGAATTCACTGACTGCTTGGGGAAAAGACATTATCTGCTCCTTCGTGTTCTGAATCATCTGATCTGCCGTCAGAGACTGGCTCTGGGGCTCCTCCTTGTCCTTGCTCTTCATCAGCTGAACCGATTTGCTGGCTGACGCCTCGAGATCTTTAGTTGAGCTCATTTCGTCAGCAGTGTCAGGGGTTTTTTCGTTGGAGTTTGATGGGGTATTTTTCTCGCTGGGCCTGTCCCCCATGGAAAACGCTCGCATTGTCTCCGTCGAGGGGTACGTCATCCTCTGGATGGCTTCCATCCAGTACTTGTTGACGATTATCTGGAAATTCTTGTACTCTGGCTTCGCGAGGTAACCCTTCAGCTGGGCCAGGACCTTCCACTGGCTCTGCAGGGACATTGTACTCTTTGATTTCGAGAGGAGGCTCACCGAGTTCGAGAGCTTGTCAGCCATTGTTTTCAGGTTTTCGGAGTCATTTCTACCTGTTGCACTTTCTGTGAGACGTCTGGAAAAAAAATTAAGGAGGAATTAATATCTCAGGGTCAATTTGAATTTTTTTTTAATAATAATTTTAAATAATATTTTTTTCTTATTTTCAAAAATTAAATAAGAACATTGAGCAGAGGATACTTTATAGAAAATATTTCAATCGAATAAATTTTACGGAAAAATATAATTCTATTGATTTTTTTCTATAGAAAGTTCAATACAAATCCAATAGAATTTTTTTTAGCGAATTCGATAGATTTCGCTCAAAAGATGAACTGTAAATCACAGTTCAAAATATTGTGCTCATCACCTTGACCTTAACTAAATTCGCATCTCATTAAACCCTCAACCTATTACGCGAACTTGTGCAATAATCCCAAATGATTCGTCAACAACAAAAATACCCAACTCACCAATGAAATTATAAAATTACACATAACCTCATCCGAATTTCGATATCTCAATACAAACGATTTCGCATGAATCGAAACAACAACAAAATCTCAACTCAACAATTGTTAATTATGATTCAATAATTATCTCGACACTCGATTTTTCAGCCCGTGCTATTCCGACGATGATAAATAGTGTCCATAATATTTTCGGCTGTTCCCGAATCTCGAACGTCAAAATCAGCTGTGCTAGAAAGTTCGAGGGAACTCACCTGGTCAGCGAGACGCCCCTGCGGCAATTTTTCACATGTTTACTGAGTACCATTCTACTCTCACCGCAGATAACAACTCTTCTCGCACTGAATTCAATGCCCCTGGCACGCATGAAAGTCTCACCGAATCAATAATCCACTGATTACTCACTACTCTGAGGTTGTCAAATGGAATATATCAAATATTATTGCAACGAAAGTTGTATATTATAATATGGATATGCCGTATTATATCCACGCCCGTGTCAAAACACAAATAATGACGAAAATATTATGTGGGAATCACAATCATGGTCTGTCCACTTGTCAAAACACAAATTTGTGATATTCTCAATCACTTTATTTATCGACAAAGATTCTCTCAAGGTCAACTTTGTCGATTGGAGGCGCGTTCGTATGTTATATGTATTAGGATCGTACGTTTTCAACTGTTATTGGTTTACTGAGAGACCGCGGAAGTGATTCTGGCTCTTTATAGATCACTTCTAGGCTGTCTAGTCTATATCGGAAGTTTTTGTAAATAAAAGTCGCGCGATACCGATGACGTGTTGGCAGAGACGTGGTTCGCATCGCATTGTTGATCAGCAAAATCTCCTGATCACATTGCTAGGTGTTTGTTGCTTTGGGTAACGAGGACTTTTATCACTGTATCGCGGTGTTATTGAACCAATTACCTGCACGTGCCGCCGAATTATTTTGTTTTGAGGCCGCACGTGGAGGAAAATATTTTGCATGATTTCCCATAGAGGGGATTCCAACGATTAAAGACGGAGAATAGTATTCTTGGTTTATGCGCAAGCATTTCGCGTAATTCAATTTTTTTTGAGAAAGTCAATGGAATTTGACATGCAACATAATTCGCTTTATTCATCATTAATTTACATTGCCCATTGCAAATTGACGGAAAGATCATGCTTCATCGGTTCAGTTATTTTTTTTTAACGTTGAAAAATCAAATATTGGATGCATCAAGTCCATCGAGTCCTTCTCGTTGAGCCACCGTTGGAGGCAGTGCTCAATGAATTCTGGAATCTGAAATAAAATGAAATGATTACGATTTCAATAGAAATTCCGTAGATTTTTCTGATTTTTTGTCGTGACCTCATATGGCATTGAATTAATTAATTATTTATTCCTTCCAATGAGCACATAAATAAATCCTTTTTTTTAACTGAAGAATAAATATTACTTGAATTCCAGAAAATTCGAAAAGCCAGCACTAATACCTTTTCACGCTCATAATCCCTCAGCTTCAGTCCCTCAAACATCGTCTCCACGTCCAGCCCCCAGAGTTGCATATTAGTTCTAGCAATCCACACCTCACCTCCAACCCTTCCCACGATCATCTCCCTCCGCCCACTGCCCCCATTGCCTCGAAAAGCTCGCACCAGACTCTGCATATTAACATTCCAAGGAACGATAGTCCTCCCCGCTGCATTCCCCCTGTCCCTCGATCTCTGCTCCTTCATGTTCTCCAGCAAATTCAGCAGCCTCTTCTTATTACCCACAGAGTCCCTCGACTTGGGGACCTTCGGGCCACTCGGCGATGCCTTCGCCCGCAAACTCGCCTCCTCCTGCATCCCAATCTCTCGATAATGCTCTCTCTCCCCTGGAGTCAGCCCCTTCCACTCATCAGTCAGCAATTTAGCTATCTGCACGAGATTCATCTCAGGATGATCCCGAATTAACTGGGGCCTCATCTCCTTCGAGAACTTTTGAAAACCAATTTTATTGGCTTCTGGATTGTTCGAAGAACTGACTCTGCTCGACGGTTTTGGGGAGCGAGATGCCAAATTCATGATCGAAACGTCTGTTTTTCCTGGTAAATTGAAGGGCACGTGTCCCTTGCTCCACTGGGACGCAGTGATCTCGATGTTTGGGCTATTCTCAGGGGTCGTTAGTGACGCCAGGGCAGCCTCCACCGCCTGAACTTCCTCGTCATCCAGGGTGGGAAGGGCGTTGATCTCCTGAGTGCTGAAATCCTCCCCTAAATTCACTTCTGGTAATTCTGTCATCGGCTCTTCTTTAGAGAGAGTGACTCCTGGGGGCACTCCAGGGGGGGAGACCTCTGGGAATGTCTCGGGGGGAGTGACTCCTGGGGATAGCCCAGAGGAACTGACTCCTGGGGTCATTCCACCATTTAAAGTCACGTTCTCCTTGTCTTCCTCGTTTGAAATGGATTTTCCTGGCTTTTCTATTCTTCGTTTTTTGGGGGTTGGGGATTTTATGTCGGTTTCTGGGGACTGGGACTCGTCGAGGGCTGATTGTGAGAGACTAGAGTCATTCGGAGGGTCTGGGGAGGGCTCTGGGGGCTGCGAGAGCTCAACGGTCACTTCGTAGTAAGTGGATAGCAAGTCGGTTATGGTGGTTGTTATGGAGGAGTGGTTGACTAGGAGAACTGCTGTTTTATTCGGCTCTAGGTTGACGTCTACTGTTGATGGGGGCACTGTGAGAGTTAGGAAGAAGCCTGGCTTTTTTCGGGGGGCCATTCTGTCCACGAAGTGGGTTGAGAGAAGTTTGATGATTATCTGCAATTTTTTAACAGATATTTGTTCATAGAAAAAGTATATATATGTTGATTTCTCCATGACTCATTCTATTGGGATTATTTCTAAATTAAAAGTGAACAGTAATTTTCAAATGCTTTTTTCTTCGATTTTATTGTGGGAAACTTATAAAAATTTAATGGAAAAAACAAGGAACAGAAAAAAATTGTTCTCATATAATCGGTGATTATTTTTTTCAGTCGTTCTTTAATCAAAAAAATCTAGAAAATAAAATCTCAATGAAATAATTTTTTTTGGAATTGAGAAATTTCATGCAATAGCTACAAAAAATTAATTTCACTGAACCTTTTCCAACTCCTTGAGTATCACAGGCCTGCCATTGACGAAAATATGTTGATAGTGAATTTGACTGATGCTCGACAGGTCTGTCAAGTCTTTTTTGGGGACCATTAATCTCACGTCCAGATCTGAATCCTTGAAACTGAGGGTCTCGTACTGAGCTGCGAATTTCCTCCCGAAAACATTGGCGAGACTCTGCTCTTCGCTCTCCGCAGGGATTTTCGAGAAAACTGTAGTGTCATCCACTCGGTAATTGATTCGCAATGCTGGCCGACAGATTCCAAAATCTTGAAGGAGGTTTTCAATTGATCTGACGTCTTCGTTTACATGCCTCTTGTTGCTTATCATTTGTCGACGAACTGGAAAGTTCTTGAAGAGAGATCTCGCTTGGACAGTTGTTCCTGCAGGAAAAATGATCAATTTATTAAATTTGAAATCTTTTCTGAAATTCACGTCTTGAAATGTCCTAATTCCATTCCAAATAATTGAATACAATCGTTTCCAAGAATTTTCAAAAATTATTTTAAATAGTATTTCCCCAACTTGAAATATCTTTCCATTAAAAAAATTAACTATTTGAATGAATTATTTAATGAATTTGGAATAATAATGAGTGATAATCAATAATGAGGAATTAATTCTCTTCATAGAACCGTCAAAAAAACATTATTAAATTTTTTTAAGAGAATGGCTATCGTTCCCAATAATTAGAAGAAATCCTCACCAATAGCTCGATTACAAAACTCAGCCTTATCAATATTCCCCTCGTGAGAAAGTGTGTAGCATCGTGCATGATCATCCTCATGGGTTCTCGTGATTATCTTGACATCTGATACCTTGCAGATAGCATTGAGAGCTTCCCCTCTGAACCCATAGGTCTGTAAAGACTCTGAAATATAAAATTGATGGCAAAATCAAATCGTCGAATTTTAATCAATTAATGAATCATCTATTTTCTACCTAAATCATTCATATCTGAAATTTTTGATGTGTAAGACTGCAGAGCCATGTAAACAGAGTCTGCTTTCGATATTCCTTTCCCATTGTCTTTGACTTCGATAAACGTCAGACCTTTATCTTCCTGAAAAAACCGTAATTTTGTGCAATTTAAATTATTTTATATTGTTTATTTATGAGAATTTGATTTTACTTCATCAATCAATCAATTAATTAATTAATTACTGCTTAAAGATGTTTTTTTAATTAATGAATAGAACGACGAAATTATGAAAAATTAAAGAAATTGAAAAATGGAATTAAAAAAAATATCTGGGCTATGGAAATTTACGTACCAAATAAACATCAATATTATTTGCACCTCCATCGAGTGCATTCTCAACCAATTCTTTGACAGCACTGTACACAGATGTTATCACTTGTGTAGTTGTTATCTGTTTAATTGTCTTTTTATCAAGTGCCGAAATTCCCATTGTACCTGCAATTAACTGTTTATATTTTTATTTTGGAAAACTAGTGCATGTGGACATGATTTCCAACGCCAGACAGTCTGAGTCCCGCTCTTTTCACGATTCCTAACCAATAAAAATCGCACATTCAAAAAGTGTCACGTAAGAGAGAATATTAAAAAAATTCAATTTATTGCAATTTTTTATTTTGATGAATTTTCAATAATTCTCTATCCAATTTATGGAATGGAAATAAATTTGTGATGATAAAAAAGCCAATAAAATAGTTTGGATTTTTTAAATTTAAACATCAGCTTCTAAATTCAAAAAATAATAACAAGATAATTAATTTAATGAAGAGTGTTTATTACAAAATTTCATATCCAAGTAATGGCGATAGATATTATTCAACAGCGCATAATGAACAATATTTACAGTTCTGCATAATCACGATGAACTTAACAATTAATTATGATAACCGAATAGCTGCTTGAGAGTGGAGATCATTGGAAGCACGCGAATGTTCGCAAGAAACTCACTAAACTTATCCATTCGCACTCGATAAATTCGTCGGCATTAAAAAATATAACGAAAAAATGAGTTGTCCATAATCTATAAATAATGATCACCAAAATATCTCAATTACCTGTTGAGGAGAACATAAACGAAGATGATGACTGTAAAAAAAAGGCTGAAGTGTCGTTTAATTGAATAATATCTAGGAGCATATTAACAATTAGAAATCCCGACTTTACATAAAGCTTATTTCAAGTACGTCAGAATACTTTGTCATGTTTCATTCTCAATAACTGCAACTAACTATAACAATGACTTCGAGTCTGATGTATCTCGACATATCACAGAGAATTATCAATCTTCCAGCTTATCATAAACTCTATCACTCATATCCTGTAATACGTCAAGATGATATCGCAAACTGAAAGTAAAAAAATTTACGTACGAAAAAATTCAATAAAAAACGTCTTTCGTTTGAGATTCTGATGTTTTTCTGTCAATTCTATTGAAAAATTACAAATTTCCCAGGAGAAAAAATTCATAAGTCCCCATTTTTCGATCCAGCTACTGAGATATTTTATTAAAAAAATCAAGTCAACGTATAGATTTCTCTATCAACCACTTTCATTAAAAAACTTGCAGAAAAACTGTAATTTTTCACTAAAATCATCAAAAAACCGACACAACTCCAACAGAATTTTCTCCCATCAAATTTCTTCGTACGTCTCATTACTAAGGTACACTATATACAGGGCAACATGTGAGACAATCAATAAAAAAAATACATTCGCTAGAATCCTCATTTCCAATAAAATCCTCTCCATCCTGAGGCACTCCAATCCGGACTAGTAGCATTAAAAAATCGATAAAACGAAAAAACCCGCCGAAATTTCGTACGTCGAGTTGATTGAAATGAGTATGTTCCCACGCGGGTCAATCACCAGAAATGCACGAAATAAAAACGAAGAAAAAAGCCCTCAAGAAGGCTGAGCCCTTCAGCGCCTGTGTCACAACAGCAGAAGATCGACGAGATTGGCCCTGGGTTGTGTGAGAGTCTCTGGAAAGAACTCCATGAGCCTATCAAAAAGTTCAGCCCTCCTCTGATGGAATTCCCTCTCCATGGACTCCTCGAGCCCGCTCTCCTCTCCCCCCTGGAGATCGGCGATCCTCTCCTGTTCCCTGAACAAAACCGAAGTGAGGGCCTGGAACTCCTTCGTCTGCCCCTCGTCCTCATGATCGATAATCTCCGAGACATCCCTCTGAAGGTACTCCAGTGCCTCGATGCTGCTGCTGAGTGCCAATTCCTTGAACTTGTACTTTCGAATAATGAGTTTGCATCGTTTGAGTATCTGCTCCTGACTGGGCCTGCAGAGTTTCAGCTGCCAGAAGTCATCGAGCCTGAGCTTGGGCAGGCAGGACCTCCCAGGATTTCCCCCGAAGAGATAATGGACCTTCTTATCAGTATCATAAACCAATTGATGAGCAAAACGTGGACAGGGCTCGTAGTCCTGCATTTTGCTCCAGTACTTCTCCCCGCCATTCTCATTACGATAGACACACGTCCAGCTGTTCTTCTTGATCTTATAAACCCAAAAAGAGTTCTGCACATTCTCCTCCCTCTTGTCCTTGTCCTTGCTCAGCCCAGAGAGCACGTAGATCTCCCCCAGAACAGGATCAATAGTTGCTCGTTGGGTGTAGCCAGCTGCTGGTATGTGGTTGGAGTCCTGTCCCCCAAAGTCAGTGACACTGATGTGCTCCACCATATTACTGTCAACTTCATAAGTGAAGAAGTCGTTCAGGTACTCCTTGCTCCTCTGCCCAGCAGAGATGTAAAGCTTCCTGTCAACTGGGTTGAACAGCATGGAATGGCCCACACGTGACCTGATGATTGGAACACTGAAGGGACTGGGTCTGGCGATATCACAGGCGAGGATGTTCCAGGTGCTGGTGGCCACGTGGTACGAGTACAGTCCCGAGAAGATGGGTTCAGCAGTGGTGATGGGGCCACCGTCCTCAGTGGCTCCAGAGGGCACCAGCACCCTTCCCCCGAAGACGTATATCATCCTGTTGGTGACGTCCATGCACATCTGGTGATCGAAGATCAATCTGGGACCACCCACGGCTCCAGTGTCCTCTGATATCTGCGTCCACTTGTTGGACTCTATGTCGTAGACGAAGAAATCACTCTTCAGGTTCTCTGGGGTGCGGTACTGGGTGTCCAGGTATCTTCCCAGGGTGAAGAGCTGCCTTTTCTCAGGGTCCAGGCACATCTTGTGACAGGAACGAGCGCTGGGACCAGCTGCTGACTCGGTGTCCTTGCAGATCAGGGACCACTTCTCGGTTTTTATGTCGTAATGCCAGAGGTCTGCCAGGTCCTGGGTACCGTCCCAACCCCCGAAGAGGTAAAGGGTCTCCGCTGCGGAGTCCAGGACCATCTGGTGACCACCACGCATCCCGGGGCGGGGCTCCTCACACGACATCTTCTTCCAGACTGCTCGGTATGGCTGGCTGTTTATGTAGTCGTCCAGCAATCCGACGCTTATGGCGTTTGTTATGAAGTGCTCGGCCTCGTGATGGTCTCCACGTTTCACCAGGATGTCGTAGAGCACTGACAGGCGGGGGTCCTCTAGCTTCACATTTCCCACCGTCTCCAGGGTCTGGACAACCTGGGGGTTTTTTATTCATTGTTTATTGAGGTGCGTGAAGACATTTTGGGAGGGAATTCAGTGGAAAAATCAAGGGATAAATCGGGGGAAAGAAAATCCAACTGAATGAATTATGTGAAATTGGGGGAAAAATTAACTGAATGAAAAAATTAATCAGTTATACAATTAGAATGAAAAAATGTATCTTCAAAAAATAAATGGAGTTGTTTCATAGATTTTTTTCGTAAATAAAAATGGGAGAATTAAAAAAAAACAGAAACGCGAAATGTAAAAATACCTGGGGTTGTTCCAGCCGCCGAAAGTGTTTCATGCAGAGTCTTATAATCTCGTTCTGGAAGTACTGTTCCACGTACTTTATGCAAGGCTTTATCACCAGGGGATCGTCCATCCCCGTGAGACGAACGTGCCAGATGGAGAAGTTGAAACTTGGCCCCCAGGACTGCAGGGGCATGATCTTTATGTATCTGACTGGGTAGTATACGTCGTTCCTGCCGATTTTGTGCTTCAGCTCGAACGTCTCCGATATCGAGTCGTTCTTCAGGCCCCTGGAATGGATTGAATTCTTCGGTTCTTGGGTTTACCTGGGGGATGGAGGACTCTAGGCCAAATGGGGGATAACGTACCCTTTCAGCAGCTCCATCAAGTTGTCGTATTCCATTCCACCGTAGATCTTGAACTTTTTCATGTTGCAGACGTGGGTTTTCTCGAATTTTCCGAATGTTATGGAGCGAACGATCGAGGGCCTCTGGAGCTTCAGGGCCAGGTACTGATGGGGTCGTTGGGGGGTGCAGAAAAAATAGAAAAAGAGATTGCAATTCAGTGTTACTACACGTGCGATCAAATTTTATAGAAAAATCGGGAGAATTTGCTGAAAAGTTCTATTGGAATTTCTGGTAGTTTTTTAATTCCTCAGGTTATCTAGGTAATTTTTATTCAGTAGCAATGTTTAATGGAAAATATTCCCTGGAAATTCCTTGGTTCAATTTCTTAATATTTTATCTGTTTGATTTTTTAACGAAAAAAGAAGAAAAAATAAATGGAAAAAACCAGAAAAATTTATGTTGAAGAAAACTGTAAGAACGTGGGGATTAATCTTACCTGAGGGTGATTGTCATTGTCCGACGACCAGCGAGAGGACTGATCCAACGGTTTATCGACGAGAATGTTCCTTCAATTGAAGAATAATTGAATACTTTAATATCAATGAATTTCAAATTGACTCTTTTATTAAATTCATGTCCAAGTATTTCTATATAAAAATTCTAGATACAAATCTACGAAACAAACAAATGAATTTTTGAATAAATTCCTCAGACAAACAGCCACAAGTTTTCACACGTGTAAATATTCTAGATAATTGAAATTCTTCATAATTTTTTCTATCAAATATTTATTATCAGATATTTTTCTTCTTGATAGAAATTTACAAAAGGAAGGAATGGACTCTAGAATGGGACATCTTCAAGAAACATCTGCATTTTCCAATTAAATGTTATTCTAAATAATTAAAATTCTATACTAGGACAACAACATGTTTACAATGACAAATCGTCATTCAAGGAATGCCCTCTGACTTTTCCAATCCCCTGAAAGTCTCCAGTGAAATCTAACGTTATGCAGCTGAAAATTGGTGAAACCTCTATCAACAGACGACTTACTCTGGCACATAAGTGGGTGAATAACTCGAGCACTTGTATATTCTGTACTCGATGGTCTTCCAGTCCTGTCCATCGTCTGATACCTCGGAGGACGCCATATTACGCAAATGACATAACCATAACCTTTGATACTGCGACTATTAATTCATTTGATCTTGTTTTTACGTGTTAAACAATGGCCCGTGAGAATGACGAGCCTTTCTCGGTCTGCTTCCACTATTTCTCGCCAAGAGAGACTGCTACTTCTTCCCTCGCAGTGGAACGGCTGATCCGGGGGTCTAGGTGTCTTCGGTAACACTTTTCGGGGGATTAAATTCACGAGGGGACATGTATGTGGCACCTGCTACGAGGAAAATATGATAATTCACGAGGAGCAGCAGCAAGAGCTCGACGTGTCGTCCACTCGGTTTTTCTTGCCGTTCTCCCACTCCGAATATTCAGTTGGTAAGGCAGTCCGGGAGGGAATGGACGACAGTTGACAACAACACGTGTTTCCGTGAATCGTTGGGTTCATTCGTCATTTTTTTTATTTGGAGTCGGATATTTTTGGGGATAGGGCTCCTTGGCGACTGCCGAGGGGAGGTTTTTGCTCGAGTTTCTTCTTGAGATTGACGGAATATTTTGGAGAGTGACTGGTGAGTCGACAATTCCATTTTTTGGAGCATAACCTGCTTGTGTGGAATTTGCAGTGGAATTAGATTTTTCTGTGCAATTTATTCTATTGAGATATTTTCTGTGGGACTCGACTTATTTTTTAATCTTTTTTATTTGATTTTTTTTAATTAAAGAAGGGGAAAATAGAGTGGAAAACACTTGGAAAATTTATGTTAAGGGAATTCGGTAGAAAAAGTCTCTAATTTTCAATAGAAATTACAGCAAAAAACAGACAGAGTTCTTCATAGAATTCCAATAAAATTCCACGAGAACTTCATTCCTAGAAATTCGAAGAAAAAACGACGGAATATCCTGCAAAAAGCATTCTCTCCATTAAAATTCTTACATCTAAAATTAATTGAACAATCTCAGCGATTTTCACCTGGAGTTCAATAAAAAATTGCCCCCCAATCTACGATTAATCTCCCGCTCATTGCAGAGAATTCCCCGACCCCAAAAATGGACGAAATATCCAAAGACCCGCGTTTCTCGCACGTCCCGAAGGACCCAAAATTCCGTCGCATTCCCAAAGCCGAGAAAAAAGTAAAAATCGACAAGAGATTCCAGTCGATGTTCAAAGACAAAAACTTCAAAGTAACGTACACAATCGATAAGCGCGGAAGGCCCCTGCAGAAGTCCTCAGCCGAGGATCTCGAGAAGTACTACGACCTCTCCTCCGAGAGCGAGGAGGAAACCGTGAAAAAATCTTCCTCCAAGAAATCAAAAAGCAAGAAAGTCCCCCCGAAAAATCCTCCCAGCGTCGAAAAAAATGAAGAGAACCCCAAAGATCCTGAAGAAAAATCAGACTCTGATGAGCAATCGGAGGAGACAGCAGGGGATGAGAACGAGGATCAGTTGAAGCTGAGGAGGAAGAACGAGAGCACTAGGATATCCAGTGAAATAAAGAGCAAATTGAAGGATCTGTCGGTGGATTATGCGAGGGGAGAGGGTGCCCTCCTCTCGGACAGTTCCTCCGACGAGTCCTCGGAGGAGTCGGAGGACGACGAGGGGATCGAGCACATGTGGGGGGAGCTGGACAGAGAAGCCGAGACGACGGAGGAAATAACCTCGAGACTGGCTGCGTGCAACATGGACTGGGACAGGATTCGTGCGGTCGACCTGATGGTGCTCTTCACCTCGTTTCTTCCCCCCGGGGGTCTGATCCACTCGGTCAGGATTTACCCCTCAGAATTCGGGCTCGAGAGGCTCAAGGAGGAGGAGATGAAGGGCCCAATCGAGCTCAGAGACCTGGAAAACGAGGATGAAACGAGGTCTGGAGGGGACGACGACGAGGAGGGCAACGACTTTCGCAGGGAAAAGCTGCGCCAGTACCAGCTGAACAGGTTGAAGTACTACTACGCGGTGATCGTCTTCGACTCGAAGGAGAGCGCCAACAGGATCTACACGGAGTGCGACGGGCATGAGTACGAGTCCACTGCCACCAAGATTGACCTGAGGTTCGTCCCGGAGGACATGGAGTTCGAGCAGCAGCCCAAGGAGGTCTGCGACAGGCTTCCGGACGTGTCCAAGTATCAACCGAGGCAGTTCACCACTACTGCACTGCAGCAGGTGAAGGTCGAGTGCACGTGGGACGAGACGAAATTGGATAGGGTGGAGATTACGAAGAAGATTAACTCGGGGAAGATTGATGATATTGACGAGAGCGATATCAAGACGTATCTGGCGAGTGGAAGCAGTGATGAAGAGTCTGGTGAGATATTTATGAGTTTTTTTGTAAATGGGAATTTATTAATTACCTGCTATCTGTACGTTTTTTAATAGAACATGTTTAATGGAAAATATTCTATAGGAAATATTAATGAAATTAGATTTTTCTGTGAAAGTTGTTCCATTTAGATATTTCTAAGTTTATTGGTTTTAATTTCTTAACGAAAAAAAGAAAGGTAGAGTGAAAAAAATGTCTCAATAGAAAATGTTTAGAAAGATTAAATTCTAAAGATTGTTCACAAAATATTTTTTTTTATTTCCTATTTAAAAAACTGAGTAAAAGAGTAAAACTGCAGAATTTTCAATGAAATTGTCTCGTTTTCCCCATTAATTTTAATTTTACATTTTATAATTTTATATAGATACTGAAGAGGGAAGAAATGAGGAAGACATTGACAGCAAGAAAAATCCGCTCGAGAAGTACAAATCACTGTTGAAGTCAATCGAGCAACAGGAAGAGGAGAAAAAGAAGAAAGATGGGGATCTGGAGTTCACGTGGGGATTGGGAACCAAGGAGAAGGCGGAGAAATTGGTGGAGAAGAGGATGAAAGAGTCTGAGAAGCTGACGCCTTTCGAGCAGTTCCTCGAGAAGCGAAAGGAGAAGAAGAAAGCGAAGAGGGAGGAGAAGAGGAAAATTAAAGATTCTGAAGAGGTCGATCAAAGCTCTGACAGTGAGGACTCGATACCCTCTGACGTCGACATGAACGACTCGTATTTCGCTGAGGAGATGAGGAGCTCTGGATTCGAGGAGAAGAAGTCCAGGGGTAAATCGATTGAAAATAGTGAGGACGACGAGGACGCAGCGCAGAGGGAAGCTGAACTGGAGCTTCTGCTCCTGGATAAGGAGGATGAGCAGCAGAAACATCACTTCGATATGAAGAAGATTGAGGAGAGCGAGGTACTCACGAAATCGAAGAAGAAACGAATGAGCAAGAAGAAGAAGGAGCTGGTGCAGAGCGCTGTTGAGGACGAGTTCGAGGTGAACGTCGAGGATCCTCGGTTCAATGCACTGTTCACCTCTCATCACTTCAATATCGACCCTGCTGATCCGCATTACAGGAAGACGAAGGGCACTGAGGCACTGGTGAAGGAGAAACTGAAGAGGAGAACCACTGGGGAAGTCCAGGAGGTGGGTTTTTCAATTTTGAAATGTGGGAACAGTTGAATGATCTGAGCCTGACTCTCAGAAACTTTTTTTTGTCTATTTAGACTGAGTTGTGTAGAATTTTTCAATTCAACTCTCATAAATTTTTAATTACAAAAATCTCGATTATAACTCCCATGAAATGGGGATAAAATAGAAATTTAATTGATGTTTATTTTTTATTGTATTTCAGGAAATATCAAGGAAGCAGTCCAAGAGTGGAAAAAACGAGACGACTTCTGATCTGGCGGCCCTCATCAAATCTGTAAAAAGGAATACTAAAAATGTTTTCAGACCAATAAAGTAGAATGTCATTAGTATAATAAAGAAATTTGTTGAGAATTTTTTTTTAATGTTGGAAACCCAATTATTTCTATCGAATCGCTAGGTTTTTCTGTGAATTATTTTTTTTTGAATTTCCCGCAGACATACGTCAGTCGTCCCAAGCAAAAATGGTAGAATGCGTCAACTTCCGGTAATCTGACGTGTACATAAACGATTTCCCGAAAACAGCTGTAGGTTATCCGACGGAGTAAATCATAATAAACAGATAAAAAACGAAACGTAAATAATAGGGTGAAAATTTAAATAGTAATATATAAAAAATGTTGGACTTGTTTACCATATTTAGTAAAGGAGGGATTGTCCTCTGGTGCTTTCAGAGTACGTCCCAGATATTTAAACCGAGTGTTAATGCACTCATCAGGAGTGTTATTTTGCAGGTGAGTTTTTTTCAATTACTGCTTTGTCGTTGTTTATTACTATTCATGAATTCCGGCGATCGACTCCATTCTGTGTGCCAAGAAAATCCCTCGGTATTTTCAATGCCCTCGAAATGATTTAATTGTCATTTCGAGGAGTAACATATGTGGACATATTGACAAATCATTCGTGCACGTGAAATAATTGATTACATGCATGTTCAACATGTAATTTTTTTAATTGAAGAAAATTTCCTCCAATTTTATTTCAGGAATTGTAATTCTTTCGATAATCTTTTATGTTTGCTCATGTTTTCGTGATTTTTCATTCAATGAATTGCAATTATTTCAATGATTTCGTGATGCTTTCAATAGTGTCTTCATTGAGAATGAGAGAAGAAATGAGCTGATACTACAGAATTAATGTTCTAGTAATTCCTCAGTCCCAATTTTCTGAATTTTTTTCATGGATTTTTCTTCAATGAGTAGAAAACAGAAAATTTATTTCCAGAATTTTTTTCTATGAAATTTCAAGAAGTATTCAGACCTTTAGATTTCAAGAATGTAATCTCATTTGGAAACAAAAAGGAATCATTTTCTAAAATAACCATAATTGATTAAATTCTTAATGATAAGTAATTTTAATAATGAATTAATCAATTGTCTAAAATAATTACTTGAAATTTTAGAAATGATTGCAATTCATAATTATTCTTTTCACATCATAAATATTTCTGTAGGAACGAACAGGTGTTTCTGCATACGAGCACGACTCCCTGCGCCTTCAGTACAAACTCGACAATGAATTCGAGCTGGTGTTCGTCGTGGCATACCAGAAGATTCTGCAGCTCTCGTACGTCGATAAATTCCTCAACGACATTCACCTGGAGTTCCGGGATAAATTCAAGAATCAGCTGGAGAAGTCCCAGTGGTTCTTCGATTACGGAAAATTTAAGAGCGATTACCAGAGCATTCTGGTTGCTGCTGAGCAATGGGGGAAGCAGCAGGCCAAGATACCCAAGCAGATGCGGACGTTCGACGAGAGCGCTAAATCTAAAAAGACTGTTGCCAGTATGATTGAGAGGAAGGATGATAAGGATGATAAAAAATCCGGTGGGTTTTGCATTTTAATAGACTCCTGTCTCTCCCCCAAGCAAAAAAAAATAGTAAATTTATTCAGATGTGAATGGCCGGAATAACAATTAGAAAAAGTGAATGATTTAGACCAGATCATTACATTATAATTAATTAATTCATAATTATGAGTAATCAGCTAATTTTTTGTATATTCTAATAATATTCTTCAATTCAATCATTTGCAGGGAAAAATAAGAAGAAAGCAGCTGTTGCATTTGACGAAAACGAGAGTGAGTATTAAAAAAGTTTGAGATTTAGATTAAACAATGAAATTTACGTTAATGGATTTGTTTAATTTTTAGAATGTATAGAAGAAAATGGAAATGAACAAATTGCTGTTACTAATGGAGAAGCAGATATAGACTCGGGGGAAAATTCTTTAGAATTGAATTTGAAGAAATTGAGTCAGCGCATCAATAAGAAAAAAATCGATAAGCAGTAGGTTGAAAACATTGTATACTTTTATAAAAAAAATTGCAATAATTTGGAAAAGATGAGCCACTTTTCAATCCTCAGTAATGTATTAAAATGCAACAGATTAATATGAGAGCAAGAAATGATTGAAACCCAAACTCATTGATTTCTTCATTTTTATTGTTCAGAAAGAGTCCAAAAGCCGAAAAAGCAGGAAAAAAGCCTCGCGTGTGGGAGCTTGGAGGCACAAACAAAGATCTTGCGAATTTGGAACGTACGCGAGACAAGCCGTCAGAGGATGGGGAACGTATTCAAGCTAATACTGCGGTGAGTAGAAATAAATTCCATCATCTCATTAATTATTACTTTATCTTCACAAAATTCAATGAAAAAGAATTCGATAATTTACGCCCAAGAATTTTTATTAAAAAAAAACAAAATCTATTGACATTTTTCAGTGAAATATTTCGTTGAAAAAATGACAGGGTAAAATTGTTCAATTTTTTAATAGAATTTCATTGGATTTTTCTTCTCTAAAAATTTTTAATACGTATTATTTAGCATTTAATCATTTTTTACACAAGTTAAAAAGCCAAATAGAATAATTTAGACTAGTTTCGTAAAGAAAACGAGACAAACAGTATGAGGAGAATAATTTATGCATAAAAATCAAAATGTTATCATGCCTCCAATGCTTTTCTTTCTCTCCAGCTGATTGGTCAGATGAAAGGAGGCATTCGTGACCTAGAAGTCGAGTCAGACTCCGAAGACGACTACGAGGAGGAGATTTTGGTGGCTGCAATGCCAAAAACTGAGAAGAAATCCGGTGGTGGGATGTTCTCAGTGCTCAAGGGTCTCGTCAGCAACAAACAGCTGACCTCCACCGACTTGGATCCCGTCCTCGAGAAGATGAAGGATCATCTCATCGCTAAGAACGTGGCATCGGACATTTCTGTGAGCCTCTGCAGCTCGGTGCGTGCCAAGCTCGAGGGCAGGGTCCTGGGGACCTTCGAGAGCATCGCCAACACTGTCAAGACGACCCTCACCGAGTCCCTGGTGCAGATCCTCTCGCCAAAACGCAGAGTTGACATTCTTCGTGATGCGTATGAGGCGAAGAAAAATGGAAGGCCTTATGTCATGTCTTTCTGCGGGGTTAATGGCGTCGGAAAATCGACGAATCTCGCGAAAATCTGCTTCTGGCTGATCGAGAATAATTTCAGGGTGCTCATTGCTGCTTGCGATACTTTCCGGTGAGTTGAGAATTTAGCAATTTTTTTAAAAACAGATTTATATTTATATTTTCTCTATCAGTGATTAATAAATTATAGTTTTGTATCAGAAATCATTCTGTTAGAATTGACCATGAATTTTCCAACTTTTTTATTGGATTTTGTAATGAAAAACAACACAAAATTCAGTGGAAAAAAATTCTACAAAATAATTTTTAAGAATTTCAATAGAAAAAATCTCGAGAGAATAATTTATCTGTCAAAACAAAAATCTCGTGATGAAGTTTTAAAAATTTTATTGAGTAAATTAATGAAATTAATTATTTAAATGGATTAGTTCAGTTAATTCAATTCATTAGTTTACGAAAATTGTTGATATTTCAGTGCCGGTGCAGTAGAGCAATTGCGTACCCACACCCGTCACTTGAACGCCCTTCATCCAGCTGAGAAGCACGGAAATTTAACTATGGTACAATTATTCGAGAAAGGCTACGGAAAGGATGCTGCTGGGATTGCAATGGAGGCAATTCGCTTCGCCAAGGAATCAAGGATAGACATTGTATTGATCGACACAGCTGGAAGAATGCAGGACAATGAACCGCTGATGCGAGCACTGGCGAAATTGATAAAAGTTAATCAGCCAGATCTCGTTCTATTCGTTGGAGAAGCACTTGTGGGTAATGAAGCTGTTGATCAGCTTGTTAAGTTCAATCGTGCACTCGAGGATTTCAGCCACTCCGACAGCCCTCGCACTATCGATGGAATAGTTCTCACTAAATTTGATACTATCGATGATAAGGTAATTACAGTGCACATTACTCCATTTTTTGTGGCAATAGAAAAATTACACGAAATGAAACAGAGCATTTTGTAAATTCTTTAATTGTGGCTAAAATTTTTTTCTGTTCCCAAAATTGTCTTTCTTCGAGAAATCAAATTTTTGATTGACAAGATGAATGACATTTTAATTAATTTAGAGGAAAAAAAATTATAGAATTCTAGAATTCAAAAATTCCTTGAAATTCCAACTGTGTGACGTAATTTCAAGAAGTCAAGCGAAATTTCCGGCAAAAATTTTGAACAGTTTATTCAAAATAATCTCATAAAATATTATCACCTGTGAAATGATGTTTTCAGGTCGGTGCTGCCATTTCCATGACTTACATCACGGGTCAGCCGATTGTTTTCGTCGGCACCGGTCAAACCTACACCGATCTCAAGACCCTGAATGCTAAGGCTGTCGTCCACGCTCTCATGAAATGAATCCAATGAATTTATGCAGTTCGCAGATACCAGTGCATCGACATGTATCAGAATGATTATTTGACGTCATTTGTATATTTATATGAAATGAATAATGATGTTATCAATAAATTCGATTGTTTCAAAATTCTTTTCTCATTGAATCTTTCATTTCACTTTCCCATACGTTAATCTAAAAAAAATAATAATAAAAACGGCATAATTAATTACTTTTCAATTAACAAATTAGTTTTTTCCCACTCGGTGACAATTTAAATTAATAGTTTGGCATCACCTCCTAATTTTGTCGTTTTCTCAATTAATTGAACTAGGAATTAATTAATTGAGCACTTTCCCAGCCTCAAACTATCGAAGCATGACATTTTTCATTGAACACGGGGTATCAATTAAATATTTCTCATCAGCCGAATGCCCCACTGCCACTTGATTTCAATATTCAGCAAACTACGTAAATCCAACATCAACGTTTCTGATTTATGGATTTTATTTCCCCAATAATCATCATTCATTTCAAATGCATCCTGTAATTTTCATCGAGAGACTGCGACATGTGTCCCCATTTGATTCCAAGTGTTCGCTTCAAACATCACGCTCGAAGCTATCCGCCTTTCAATTAAATACCTCTTCAATAAAATAATTGGAATTTTATTGAAAACTTTTTCCACTTCGGGTCACTGCGACGTGCAGCAGTGATCAAATTTCCACGAATTCTCTCATTAATTGATGTCAGTCTCGAATTGAACATGAATTATTAAAAATCATTGATTCTTATCGTCTAGTTGTAATTACGTGTGACCAAAATTTAGTAGAATATTTGCATTATTTGTTTTTTGTTTCGATTTCTTTTGAAAATTATGTATTTTTCAAATTGATTTCTCGATGAAAAAATTTTCAGTTTTCCAGATAAATTATTAAATTCAAGAAAAAAATGGGAAAAATCATGTTCAAAATTTCAATGGGTATTTTTTTATAGAAAAAAATCAATAAGTGTTGATAGAGAACAGAGAAAAGAGGAGAAACAATAGTATTCAATCAATTTCGCTGATAAAGTGCGTACGTGGAAATGCCAATTTTAATAGGATTACAAAAAAACATGAATAATTTCAGCGTTCAAATATTCCTCTTTATTACAGCCACTGCACAATCCTTTGTTTACAGTTTTTCCTCTGCTCTTCATTTCTCCCTCGGCCTCCTAATTAAATATGACTCATGGATATTTGCTCAACGATTCGGGTAGAATTTCCCTCGGGTATTTTCATCGGCAAATCTTGCTCCGCATCGTCCTCCAGTTCGAAATGAAGTGCATCATCAAATTTACTTGCTTCCGGCACTGAGCCACAAATATCCGTCCGCAAAATCATTCCTAAATCATCAATTTCCATGTGAATTTCGGGAGAATTTATGTCATTATAATGTAGAGGAGGAGTTGCGGTAGAAATTTTTCATCTCAGGACACTCTTCGCATTTTAAGCACGGGATTTCTTATTCTTCGAAATTTTCAGATTGCGGTTTTTTGGTTCGGACGAAACTCGTTTGAGAACTTATTGTTCTTTTCTCTCGGTGTGCGAATGTAAAGAAGGATTTCAATAAGAAGAAGAGGCCAAAGTACTTGAGTGTTCTCAAAATGATAAATTTCATTTTTAAAAAGTCGAAAATTTTTTCTCACCAGAAATAGAAATTATTTTATAGGAAAAATGAAGATTAAAAATTTTTTATACAATTTATTCTATCGAGATATTTTCTGCCGAATTTCCTCGACTGGAGTTTTTAAAAAATCTATTTTTCTTTTTGTTAACAAGAAAATCAAACAAAAAAGACTAGTTTTTTGTTTCATTTTTATATTTATGAAAAAAGAGAGAAATAAAAATAGAGTAGAAAAAACTCATGTCGAGGAATCCCTATAGAAAAAAATTATATAGACAGCTGAAATATTCCCAGAATAGTTCAACTAATAAAAATCCCATAGAAATTCAATAAATTGTCTCTAGGATTCGCTCGACTTTTTATTAATTTTTTTTCGTGCGAAAAAATATGATTTTCTCATGCACGTGTCGATGGCAAGGGGGAACTGCTATAATTAAATTACCAGTGATTACACCAGAGACCAATGCATTAGCAAGAGTAATGATGAGAGCCAACAATTGATATGCAGCCTGTTGGCCAGCTGTTCTGTCGTGACCGGCGTGGATGCCCGAATAAACCCGCAATTCTGCGGATTCCTCGCCCGCACTGGGCGCTCGGGCCGGAAATACTTGATAAAGGGATTCTTTGTACCCCGTTTCTGTCGCCAATCCCGCCATAAGGGCACCAAATACACCAGCGAGTACTCCTGGCATACCGTGCAAATTGTGAACTCCACAGGTGTCGTGGACTCTCAATCGCTGTTGGATCATCGGCTGTGGGGGCATGGGGATGATTGCTGTTATTCGGGGGTTGCGGCGCATGGGAGGAAGCATGTGGTGGCATGACAAAATAGCTATTGGGGTTTTCCGACGCTCGAAAAGAAATCGGATGAACCAATTTCTTCGCGTTTACTTGGGATTGTTGGAAGAAAAATATTACGTACGAAAAACTTTTACAGAAAATTTATTCCATCGAATTTCTATTGAAAAGATTTTTAGCATCAAAACCTGTCGATTTATGCAGCTGACATTCTTCTATTTTTTACGAAATTTTAATAGAACTTCAATGGAATTCTCGTTATTCTTTTAGTTTACTGTATGAGTTATTGTCTTGAGATTTTTTCTACAGAATTTCTTGGGCATTCACGCTCCAATTTTCTACGCTGTTTTTTTCACTGATTTTCATTCACGAAATCAAGAAGAAACGGGGAAATTAATTTCCAAGTCTAATAGATAAGATCTCAACAGAATAAATTCTACATAAAAATCAATGGCTTTTTTTTTCTATAAAAAAAATAATCAAATTAGGTTTTCAATCTTTATAAAAAAAAAAAGAAATTCAATGAAATTTTTACGGAAAGTTTAAGCGAAATGCAAAATTATTTTCCCAACGAATCATTCGAGGAAAAAAATGTCTGATTCATCAACACAAAAAGGTCTCTTGATATTGCGTTATTCGTAAAAATGACTCGTCATTTTAGATAAAAAAAAATACAGAATTAAAAAGACAGAAAATTGGATCGAATCCCTAATAAATTGCTAATTCTTCATATCAAGAACAGACACATCTCCAAAAAAATTCTGAGGGATTGTTTCTGAGGTTCAGAAGTGCTCAAAGCAGAATCAGATATTTGAAATATCTGTTATCTCTCGGTGTACATATGCACCGTGCCACGATAGTGGTGTAATATAATAAAGAGAGGGTCTGGAAGTTATATACTGAGATAACTTTTTGCCGCTGGAACTAGAATTACTGGAGCTTGGATTAGAACAATGGGGGCACGTACGGCCTTTTCTCTTCCCTTTCGGGAGTAAATCCATCCAAACGGTTCTCGCAGTTTTATTACTACGAGGAACACCTGAATAGCAACATAACACATTTCACCTCAAATCGGACGAAAAGTCAAACTAAATTACTAATTTTAAAAAATTCTAGTCATAAACATGACGTTAGTTTTGTTTCATTCGTTTATTTAATTTAATTCTATATAACGTCATTGTGAAAACGTCACAGAAAAAAAAACAGAAAAACCTCGCGAATTCGTTAGAAGATTCTATTAGACTTCTGTTGAACTTCTACCGAAAAAAAAAATCAATGAAAATGTTTGACAGTGTTTTCTATTAATAAAAGCTATTGATAAATCCAGCAGAATTTATTCTGTGAATAGAATTCTTTCTGTAAATATTTTCCGTGCGTGGTTCCATGGCATGAAAGGATGAATACATAAATAAACGAATGAGACGTTCCTCATTAAAAAATCATCGTAACTACATATTTTGGCACTAAATCCTTCCAACTATTCCTCCAATATAGAGTGAGATATGGTACTACCGTGAGATACTTGTATCCAAGCACACTGATCCCACCAGCGATCGATCCAACGGCAAGTGCTCCAATAGGCTCACACATCATATCTAAAACCATTGCATTATTAATTTACATTATTAAAGCTGCAGAAATTAATAGAATTTCCAAATCAATTCGCTAAGTTCTTCTATGAAGTTTAGAATACTCTGAGGAAATGCAATGAGCTTAGTAATTACTGGTAGAACTTTTTCATGATTAGGGATCATGAAATATAAATGACATTGTTGAGCACGTCTGCTTTTTGGCAACAATAAGAATTCAAGTCTAATAATTCATGATTATAAATTATTCCCTTGAGGCCTGAACTTCATAAAGATCTTCATTATTTTATAGAATAGGTCTAAGCTTACTCGACGCAGTGCCAATGGCAACTCCACCGGCGAGTGTTGAATTCTGCACGTGAACCATATTAAATTTACTCTCCTCTGATACAAGAGCAGACACAGCAAATGAGACAACACAACTCGCGGCGATTGCTAATAAAGTATTGATTATCGCTCGCTGCTGATCGTTCCCCTGGAGAGCTGCTGCGTTGAACGACGGCCAGAAGAGCCACAGGAATATCGTACCTGGTTAAACGGGTGAATCAATTTTCCAGGTAATTAACACACCGATATACTGTCACTTCATTAGAATTATCGCGTGAATGATTTGACCGGGTAATGCTGGATTTTTCGGAGAAATTCCGATGATTCCAGCGAGATTCGCCTCGCGCGCTTGGAATTTTTTGAGAATGATTTAATTATTCGAAGCACTCGATTTTTTTCCGTCGTTATTGAAACGCCTGTCGGGTGTTATTTGGACTATACTGAATGGCCTATTTTGGGAGAATGCACGGAGAGAAATATTCAATAAAAATTACGTATATTTTCCGTAAATTACGTACATTTCCGTGGAGGAGGTGAATGACAAGTTGGAAAAATAAATTGATAGAATGGAGACGATTTTTCACAAGACTATATAAACTTAATTTTTTTAATTAAAAAAATTGTGTTAATTAACTGTTGCTAACAATTTTAAGATTTTTTATTAGAAATTTCTGCAGTAATTTTTTCAAAGTAAATTAGTCAAAATAAATTACAATAAATTAGTAAGATCAAAAGTATCCGATGCACTCGATTTTTTATTTCCATTGTT